TTGAGCCAAATCGGGGAAAAAAATATGAGTTTAATGTAGGAGCTTTTATTTTGAAGGGTCCCCTGAGTCTTATTTTGAAAGTCTATCAGGGTTGCGTGTGAAGGGAAGGGTCATGGCCAGTAGTCATATTGTATCCACTTCCTAATGTTAAATCAGTGTTGTCTCCCTCCATTAGATTAAAATGTGCTGTTTAAAGTGGTGGAGGTAAATCTCTTTGAAGCACGGTTACCTTGACGACGTTAACGAGCCTGTCAGTGACAGAGAGAAAAGCGCAGCACTATCGTTCCTTAGTTCTCAGGCTTTTTTGAATGGGATTATCAGCTCCGAACAAACGAGTGCTGAAGACAAACCGTAAATGGTATCTGAAAAATTTTTTCAGTCAAAGCGAGAGCTATCCTTTGTCTCCGATTGGGGTGACTTTCATGGATGTAGCTAATTCACAGCCTTAATGGGAAGGAGGAATAAAAAGGTTTGAGAAATCCTGCTGGTCTCATTGAATAACATGCAGCTTAATGGTAGAGCAGAACTCTCAAAAGCAAAACTTTTCCTCTGAACAAACGAGCGGTGAGCCAAAACCGTATTAGGTATTCAAAAAATTCTTTCACCGTGAGCGTCAGCCATCTTTGGACTACAACTGAGGTGACTTTCATATTTCTACAATATTTCATCTAGGCGTGGTGACGATGTAAAAAAGTGTATAATTGTCAAAATCCTGATTTTGGGGTTCGGACAGATTTGTTACCCCCGAACAAACCTTTTTCCTAGCTAAACGATAAAAGATATCGACACACTTCCTTCAATGTGAGTGCTAGGAAGGTCTGAGGAACAACTTCACCAAGGCTCATGTTGCTACGTCGAACGGTTCCCAAATGGGAGCGATACGAAAAACTTTGTTTTTTTGAATTTTCACTTCGGATTTTCAGAGAGCTCTCATTGGATTTCTATTGGGGAAGTTTGGACTTCTTCGTGGTCTGGGCCAAACTGTCGGAAAACCGTAAATGCCACACAAATGAGGGTTACATTTCCTGAATCCTGACAAAAATCCCTACGTTTTGATGTAAAATTTATCTAGATAGAGTAAAAGATGAGCGAGTGAGTTGAAGCTGTTCGGCATAAGTTAAATGTTTCAAAACGCTAGAGTGGCACACTCTAGCAGCTGAACATTCCGTCCATAGACTTCCATTATAAATTTGAAAATCTGTAAAAATAGTTTAAAAGTTTGAAGCTTCACTGAAGCAAAACTGTAAAAGTTAGCAAAAAGCCGAGTTAAACGGTAATAGCCGAAAGATGCGGAAACATTTTAAAAGTTGAATGGTGTTTCTAGCTGAAAGTATGCAGAAGTAGTTAAAGAGCAAAATAGCAGAAGATTTAGCAGAATTTTAGCAAAATGCCATTCATTTCAATGAGGCAAAAATTTGCAGAAAAAGCTGAATAATTTAAAAAGCAAAAGAGGTAGAAATACAAAAAGACATAGCCGACATGTATTACAATATACAATATTGTGAAATTTGAATGGTTGAAATAGCATAAAGTATGCAGAAGTAGTAGCGTTACGAAAAAATGGTCGGAAGAATAAAAAGAATAAAGAATAAAGAGAAACAGGATCTCAATAGTGTGAATGCCTACAGCATTCACACAATAAAGAGAAACAGGATCTCAATAGTGTGAATGCCTACAGCATTCACACAATAATAAAGAGAAACAGAAAAACAATAAGTACTTAATGAACAGAGGTCAAAACAGTAGTATAGAGATGATGCTTGGCACATTTTATGTGTATTGCTCCAATGAAGTTATCTTTTTGTATCCTTATTTTCAACCCTTTAGCTATTTTTTAATGATTTTTTCTACCGTTGTTCCTCCTTCAGTACTTTGATTCCCATCCTGCATCAGAAAGCCAAGCGGGGCACGCCTCACCAGGCCAAGCAGGCCGTTCACTGTATTCATGCCATCTTTAACAACAAGGAAGTGCAATTGGCCCAGATATTTGAGGTAAGAACAGACCTCCTGATGACTAATCTCCTCTGTATTCCATATTTCTGTCCTCTCTACCTGAAGCTGTAGTTCTTAGGATGTGCTAACTCGGTTTCCTCTTTCAACCCGCAGCCTTTGTCACGCAGTCTGAACGCAGATGTTCCAGAGCAGCTCATTACCCCACTGGTGTCCCTGGGGCATATATCCATGCTGGCTCCAGATCAGTTCGCCTCCCCAATGAAATCCATTGTGGCTAATTTCATCGTCAAGGATTTGCTCATGAATGACAGGGTTTGTGGAGCACATATAAAACCTATATATAGCTATATAAACCAAAGAATTACGCACGTCTGATGTTGCTCATTAAAACCAGGGGTCCTTAGCTCCGTATCCATTGTGCAGCTTTTACATTGGAGAGTCGAGGTGTTTGTGAGGACATCAGACAGAGTGAATGATCTTCTACTTTTATTTATAACAGGTCTATTTACAGTCATGTGTGAAAGAAGTGTCCTTGTTTAGATATTTAGAAGTACTTGAACCTCTAAAAGGTGTACACCCCCCTGTTAAAGTGGTGGGCTTTTGTACTGGGAAAAATTAGATCAGATTAGATTATTTTCTTTACCTAATATGACATAGATCTCCTCTGCAATTCAACATAAAACAAACTGATCTGTTAGAAAGTTAAAACCAAGGCACAAAGGAAAAGGATTACTCAGTTGCATGTGTGTTCTTGCTGCCCCTAATACTGTCTAGTTGAACCTCTTTGATTCACTACCAGCATTTAGTCTCGAACCGAGCCGCTTAAGATTATAAAAAAGGCAAACTCAAATCATCAACTGAAAACTTGTTCGACAGGGTTAGAGAATTATGCCAGGTCTAGATGACTTATGCAAATCAGGAGGTCATTGTTTACCATAACATGCTGCAAGTGTTTGCTGGACGTTAGCTCTGCTTCCTCAGTTTGATTCTGGACTCTAGGCAGCCTGTTGGATCACTTTGACGTGTTTTTGCATCACTTTCCAACAAAATATGCAAGTCTTTCTAAAAGAATATTATGGTGAACTGTATTAAATGCAGCACTGAGATCACTGAGGGCAACAGTGGCGTCGGATGTAGAGTTCGCAAGACACTTTACCTGCATTGTCTACTGATGGTGGTCCGAGGCTCCGGTGGTGCCAGTGTACGGCAGCCCCGCTTCTGTCAGTGAGCCCCAGGGCAGCTGTGGCTACAATGTAGCTTGCCACCATCAGTGTGTGCGTGTGTGCATTTGCTTTTAGTGTAATCCCTACATCCAGCTAGTTAAAAAAATAGATATTTTATATTCTGAATGTGTTTGTGTAAAACATATTGAAATGAGTTATTTCAACGGGACTTGTAAGAACCACTGTAAGAACAAAGAAATGACCAACGGGATTTTTGAACCACCTTTCTGTCCTCAGTCGGTAGGAAACAAGAACGGGAAGCTGTGGTCCGCTGATGAGGAAGTCTCACCTGAAGTTTTAGCAAAGGTAATGAATGTCTGTCATGTAATCAATAGTACATATTAACCCAAGCTCAAAATAACTGGCTGTTCTTTTAAAGTAGTCATATGTTAGGAAAACTGATTCCCACAGCATGATAGTCTGCGTTTCCTGCAGCCAGAGAAACTATTGTAAGACAAACTAAAGGGTTTTTTAATGCAGCTGACTAGCAGTGCACAGCAACAGGTGGGGCTGAATCAATGCTTCGTTACTCTAGGCTTCAAACAACTCAGTGTTAGTTTAGTTTTTATGTTGGTCTACCTCATCATAAAGGCTTGAAATGACAAAACAATGTACTCCCTGTTCCTCTAGGTTCAGGCCATTAAGCTTCTGGTGCGCTGGTTACTAGGAATGAAGAACAACCAATCCAAATCAGCCAACTCCACACTCCGCCTGCTTTCAGCCATGCTGGTTAGCGAGGGCGACCTCACAGAACAGAAGAAGATCAGGTTCCTCAGTTTTTTATTCTTTCTGACGCTTCAAGTTTTATGACCAACAGTAAAAGATGAGTCCACCGGTTCTAAGCTGATCTGATAAATAAACATGCGCTCCTTCGTTGCAGTAAATCGGACATGTCTCGTCTGCGGCTGGCTGCCGGCTCCGCCATTATGAAGTTGGCGCAGGAGCCTTGTTACCATGAAATCATCACACCCGAACAGTTTCAGCTCTGCGGACTCGTCATCAACGTCCGTTTCCCCATCCTTCCCTCAAACAAGATGTCTTCTATTTAAATCAAGGCATAGTTGTTGACTAACTGGTCCCGTTTGCTCTGGCAGGATGAGTGCTATCAGGTTCGTCAGATCTTTGCCCAGAAGTTGCACTTAGCTCTGGTCAAACTGCTGCTGCCCCTGGAGTACCTGGCTGTGTTCGCTCTGTGTGCCAAGGACCCGGTGAAGGAGCGCCGCGCCCACGCCCGACAGTGCCTGCTGAAAAACATCTCCGTCCGCAGGGAGTACATCAAACAGAACCCCCTAGCTCAGGGTGAGCTTTTTGTTTTGATTCTTTATTGTCTGATTATTTGCTTGTTTTCTGCGACCACGTGTCGGGAAATTACTAACACATTATAGGTCTCGTTTCCAAATGTATTCTAATTCCAATGTTTCTTTGTCTCTCAATAGAAAAACTGGTCTCTCTTCTTCCTGAATATGTGGTTCCGTTTATGATCCACTTGTTGGTACACGACCCAGATTTCACAAAACCACATGAATACGAGCAGCTCAAAGACATCAAAGAGTGAGGCTGCTTTATTATAGGGTGTATCTGAAATGGAGAGTTTAGTTTTTTTTTTTTTAATACTTAATATCCTCTTTTTTATTTCTCTGTCAGGTGCCTGTGGTTCATGTTGGAAGTCCTGATGACGAAGAATGAGAACAACAGTCATGCTTTCCTAAGGAAGATGGTTGAGAACATCAAACAAACAAAGGATGCTCAGTGTCCTGAAGACGCCAAGGCCAATGAGGTATGGATGCAAGTTCTTCACAAGAACCATTTATTTCCCTTCATCTGGACTTCTGTTTATTTGACGAACCAATGCAAAGTATCATACAAATCAGAAAATTGTGGCAGGGATTTATTTGGTTTCACGCAGATTGACCCAATGCTCTAACTGCTTTTCTCTCCAAGCTGTTAGATCAATGTCTCTACCTGCTTAACACCCTATTTACACTACCCTTGAAAAACAGTGCCAAGACCGGTCCGAGCTCTGTAACTGAGATAACTTATCATGTGTAAATGGAAAGCAAACTGAACCGAACCGAGCTAACTGCAGACCAGTTCCAGAGGTGGGCTCGGTTCTCTGATAACAAGAGCGCATGAGCAGAACGCGTCATCTCCGTCTGGCTGCACATTGCGATTCACACTCCATTCCAGTAGTTGGCGGTAATGCCCCTCCGGAAGTTGCTTGCCGCAAACACCAAAGTACAGCAATAATAATCAAGCATAACTTTCTGAATGTGACGGGCGCCGCCATTTTGATTTGCTTGAATTCCTCCTTCTTCGTCTTCTTCTTCTTGTGTTTTATGGCGTTTGGCAAACAACTTTTGGTGCATTACCGCCACCAACTGCTTGATTTCCTCCTACAATACTGGCAGTAATACCGCAGATCGTCACTAGGAGGCGAGGAGTCGAAGAACCGAGATAGCGTGATGTGTAAACAGTCGTCAGAACCAAGCTCGGCCTGGTTAACTGATCCGAGCTCAGACCGGTCTCGGCATGGATCGGTTTTTTTAAGGGTAGTGTAAATGGGGTATAAGCATGGGCATTTCTAGGCAGGAGTCAACGGGGGCCAGGGCCCCTTCAGATCAAGTCCTGGCCCCTGTTATGGCCCCTGTACTGAAGACATAATACTGAAAGAAATTCTAATGCTGATATGCGCTGAAACAGACATGGTTACTGATAGGTCCTTTGGATCAATTTTATTTTTTTCTTCACAAATTCTGTTCTATCAACCGTTTAAAAACATAGCATAAGTGGTATTGAGATAGGATCCCAGTTTTCATCTGCTAAATGTTTTTTTCCAAAACAAATGTAAAAAAAAACTACTTTTTACAGCTAATTTTAACAGTTTTTCTTAAATTCTAATTCAGATTTTATAGAAAACTGAAATTTCAACATAAATTAAAGCTACAGTGTGTAATAATTACAGGGATATACAGTCAGAAATGTAATCTATAATACATAACTATATTATTTATCATCATCTACGAGCTCAGCCTCTTAACCTTAATATTTGCGTTGCCTTAGAATTCGTTATTTATAACTACATAGGAGCGGGTCTCGCAGCCATGGAGGCAGACATCTTTGCGCTACGGCAGCCCAGAGCCAACAAACTAGCGATTGCGAGATCTCCCATTACTCTCGAAAGTAACTACGGCAAGTTGAGAGAGATTAACTGAGACGGTACTGAACAATAGATGGCAATATTAAAATGATATATGTAAACAAACCTCATCACTTGAGAAGGTAGGTGATGCGGACGTCGTGGAAGACATTTTGTCCCGTAACGCTCGCCGTACTGTTGGGGGGGAGATGTTCATGTTGCTGCGGTCTGCAGTCTGGACTTTAGATGTCGCTGAAAATTACACACTGTAGCTTTAAGTAAAAAAAAAAAAGTACAATTCCTAAATTCTGAATGTATATTGACCTAGTAAGACATCTAGAATTTTAATGAAACCTAATTGAATGCTTTTCTGTGCCCCCATGAAAACACGCTGGCCCCCTCCTGTCCCCCTGGTACATTTGGTCTAGAACCGCCACTGGGTGTAAGCGACCTAGAGATGTGCAGGACTGAAATCTGCTTATCTGTGTTAAATATTTCAAGCTCAAGTTGGATGAGCAGCGCCTGCATACATCAGTTAATTGATTTTCTATTTTACTTAGATCTGGACTTTGACTGGGCCATTCTAACACATGGATATACTGCTATATGGCAACTGTGAGGCTTGCTGACTGTTTGAAGGTCACTGCCCTGCTAGAGGGGGACCTCCTCCCCAGAGTAAAGTCTTAAGCAGCCTCATATTTTGCTCTACTTTCTCCACCCCCCCAATCAGCTGTTTTATCACAGCTTTAGAATAACATTCCCTCAGTATGATCCTGCCACCACCGGGTTTAAAGGTGGAAATGGTACACAACCTTGTAGTAAAAATAAAAGACTTCCTTTATCTTTATGTATATGGATCACTTGGTATTAGTCTGTCACATAAAATCCCTCTGAAAGAAGATGAAGTTTGCGGCTAAATGAAAAATGGTGAAGATAAACGGGGTGTATTTTTGAATTAAATCAGTGATCTGGTTACAGAAACTCTACATCGTCTGCGATGTCGCTCTCTTCGTCATCGCCAACAAGAGCACCGCTTGTCACCTAGACTGTCAGAAAGAGCCTGTCCTACCCGCAAAGTTCTTCCTCATACAAGACAAGGTAAAAAACACATTCACCAGATGTGAGAGGCTAATGTGATGTAAACATAAAGACATCACATCATCATTTCTAGACTTGCATTTTCCCTTTCCTAAAAGCATGAATGCAAAAGTTTAACCTGGATTCAATGTGATCTTGGATGAGTGGATGAATCAGTTAATGATACCAAGACCTTTAAATTAAAGTTAAAATTCTAGAATCATCCAGGATTCCTGGCTTTTCATACGATTTTAATCCTTCATCCAAGATCAGATGGAGTCAGAAAAACAACAAGTCATCTTCCTTATTTTCTGAGGTATTGATAATCGTTACTAATTGTATTTTTTCCTCATACCAGGAGTTTAAAAATGAGAAGGAGTATCTGGCAGGGGACATGAGACAAATGCTGCTAACTGGAAAGGTAAACACGTTTGTAATGATGGTTTAATTTTTATTATATTCATACGAATCTGTTTACAATCAGACTGGTTAAAGGGTTTTGCTTCAAGGCAGCTGTCAAAAATAACCTGAGGTTGAAAATCATGTCTTGGTTTAGCCAAAACCAGCTCCAGTGTTGGCAACGGTCAATAAGACTCTGACGGTACCAGGAAGGAGAGTGATTCAAAAGACCACTATCACCCCAGACACCAGCACCAACTCGTCTCCACTGGTCGCCACTAACAACAACAGGTAAACCCGAGCACACACCTGATCTGTTTGCTCACACTCTACAGCAAAATGGTTTTAATGACTTTAATACAACAGCACCACTGACACATCAGAGAGTCGAGCGCAGGAGAACAACGAGAACCCGGTCATGAAGACAGAAGAGATAAAGAAGGTAAACTACCATCGGAGTTTCATATCTCTTTACCTATAGTGCCCGTGTCTTTATACTCAGGCTTCTCTGTGTTTTTATTTCTCAGGCTGATCTCACTCAGAAACTAACGCCTGAAGCCGGGATAGAAGCATCGCCTGTTAGACGACGCGGCCGTCCGACCAAAGCTGCGGCGGCGGCTGCAGCGGCAGCGCTGAAGGAGGCAGGCGCGCTACCAGCAGGAGGTGGAGTAGGCAGAGGCAGGAAGAGAGCGGCCGACGCTCCCACAGACTCCATAAATGTCAAAATGTCTAAACAGCAGCAGCAGCAGAGCGATGAGGGGATGAAGAGACAGATCGACCTGCAGAGGTATGAGTAAAACTAGCCGCTGTGCCACCTGCTGGCAGGAAGGAATAACTGCATTTGCCTGAAATCCACAGGAAATCTGTTTCAGTACAATGATTAGTTCAGTGAGGATTTAAGGTGTCAGATGATGAGCTGCTGAATGGCGCTCCTCATGTTTTTAAATGAAGAAAAGTAACAAAATTAGAAAAATGTAAAATGAGCCCAAAGATCAAACTAAGCTTCAGTTATAGTGATGGAAAATTGCTTCCTTTTCTTTCTTTTTCTTATATAAACTTCTCCAGATGAGCGGTCACAAGACAAAAATGTTGGGATTGTTTACGTTACAGCTGTATGAACTTTACTGAAGTTTGATCTCTTTACGTTTAGAAATTATTCACTTTTTCTTTTCAAATGTGGACTTTAGGGCAAACAAAAATCTTTTATTTTTTTATTTTCTAAATCAGTAGCCGGAACGGAATGGAACAACAACGTTAAATTGGCAGTTAACACAGCAGTGTTAACTTGCTAACATGATAGCATTTAGATGCTAATAGGTTAGCTTAGCAGTGACACGGTGCTGAGGATTTTGCCTCTATTGTTATAAGTCTGTACAGACTCATCAACCCAGATCCAAATGGTCTTCAGCAGCGTTTCCAGCCTCATGTAGCTCCATCTAAACTGCTCACCTGTTAACAAGCTTAAACTTAATTATAAATGTTCAATATTTTATATGTGGAACCTGACAAAAATATTTATAGATAGAAACTTTCTAACAACTTACAACCACTAAATGAAAAGTATTTGGCATTCTGTTTTGATAAGACTTGGTTATTGACCCCCTTCTAAGGATTTTGCCTTCAGAGATCAGTAATTGGTAGACGTCAGATATCTTTGCTTTAATCTTGATTTATCCTTGACATATTCGGGACGTCCTGGCAGTGAAATTATGTCCTTTTGGGCTTCCATGCCCCTCTGCATCAAGTACATAGGAAAACTAAAACAGATCTGCGCAAAAAGAACTGCAGAGAGGATCGTCAGGGCTCCTTTAAAGACATTTCATTCCACTGCTGCGTGTCCCGAGCCTGTAACATCATAAATGACCCCTCACACCCCCACTATGGACTGTTCTCCCTACTGCCCTCTGGGAAAAGGCTTTGCAGCATTCCATGCAGGTCCAGCAGATTCCAGAACAGCTTCTTCCTCACTGCCATTAGACTGCTGAATATTGCATTAATGGGGTTTAAAACAAACAAAAACAGCTGAATGTTGTAAACTGTAAATCATATACCAGTCTAAGTTTACATTTTATCACTACGGCAATGTCTTGAGAGCTGTACTGAACAAAATTTCTTTTTATATACACTGTGTGTACAAAATGACAAAGTCTAAGAAAAACATGGTGAGCGAGCTGCAGCTCCTGCTGATGAGGGTTCACAAAACTAAACATTAATGCTGCAGATGGAGTTTGTCCGTGCTTCAAGCAGGGTTTCCAACACTGGTCCTCATGTTACTGTTCTTCGTGTTTTTGGTGTTTCTCTCCTGCTGTATACCTGATTTAGAATAAAGGATGGTGGACAGGCTTGTTTCCCTTAACGGCTTGCTGAAGAGCTAATGCAATCCTTTGGAGCAGAGATGCATCCAAAACATGAAGCCCTGAGGACCAGGGATGAAAACCACTGATGTAGATAAAAACCAAAGAGAAGCAAATTCTATCTGATTTGAAAGGGATGTGGAAAGGATACAAGGAGATCTGAGATGGATCTAGAGCCCATATTCTGACCTCTAGTAAGACAAGTACAGAAAATTACCAATGTTCTCTAACACAGGGTTCATAAGTTTTTTTTTTGTTTTTTTTTCCTTAAAGACTACAAAAATTCACTCCTTATCCTATCCATAATTTAGATTTTTGTCACCTTTATTGTCATGGTTTGTTTTGTGTGGTGGTCTGATGCAAAATATTAAATAAAAATTAAAAAAGGAACAGATTTGGTTTAATATAAATGTCATTGGAATCAGATGATTGTTCCCTGATTAAAGCTTTGAAGGCACAAACCTGAGATATAAAAAAAAAAAGACTAATTCTGAGCTGTGCTGTTTTTTCCAGGTAAAGATGCGACGTGCGAAGATGAAATCCAGCCTGATGAGGACAGACCTGAATCTTCTCCACCCTACTCACAAGCTCCCTTTGACTCTTAAAGCTTTCTTGGAGATATAACGGACCTTCTCAACATAAACAGAATATACATACACGCACGCAGGCGCACATCAACACACCGTCATACTAGGAGGTTTTAAACACCATGTAGTCATCTATTGAAGCTCTCTGTATGTAGGTCTTACTCAGAAACATATTTTTCCTTTGTGTTTGATGCTCTTTGCTTCGTTTTTGGAGCCATTTTTAAGAAGAAAAAAAAACGGTATGGACATTTTACAAAAAAAAAAAAAAACGTTTTAATCTGATGATTCTTGCTTATTAAATTCCCTGGGAAAAACAAAGTAAATCTGCTGTTTTGAGTCCTGATGTCTTCCTCCTCTCCGTCTCTGCTGCAGGGTTCCTTTCCAGCTCATCGGTTGAGTTTGTAAATACACAAGTTCTAGCTTTGTAAATGTGAGTTGGCAGGAAAATCAAAAAGGGGGATGTTGAATGTTTAGGGCAGGTTTTTAAAAGTTCTGTTTAGCTTTCTTTCGTGATCCATCAGGGATTTTGGTCATTTTAAGGTGCAGTAAAACCTCCACCGTTCTTTCGTTTCAGACACATCTACATTTTCTTGTTTTGTTCCCTTTTCCGTTCTATTTCCACGCATCAACTAATTGAAAACCTCCACTGTCAGGAATTTCTAGATGTAGTTAAATGATGCATTCCACCATATTTAATTTTTTATTTTCATTATTTACAAAGAATAAATGCTTTTAGATGTTTGGGTGCCCTAGATTTGTCTTGATCCCCTTTTTTCCCCAGGTGAAAATCAGAAACAGACATTTTTATTTATTTTTTTCCCCAGTTTTTTTTTATCAAAGAAAGAAAAAAAAAACATGACACTGTCACAATAAATATCCATGCTTTTTTATACTGCTGATGCTTGCTTCCAATAAAAAAAGGTCTCCGTTCAAACGGAGAAACTTTGAGATGCAACAGCCCCTTTTTTTTTTAACGCTTCGTCGACGTGCAACACCTTACAGCGAGAACAGCAGGAAGACGAGGAGGCCTCTAGTCCTAAAAAATAAAGTCGATCCAGCAGACTCGTCCACTCCAAGGATTTCATCACACCTCCTAGCTATTTACAGAAAGCAGACCATACCTTCTACCCTCTTTGAGATCTTCTCACCCATAATGCAACGGGAGGTCGGATGAAGAGAAAAGCTCTTAATAAATGGTCCTTGTGATAAAATAACGCAAAGCTCATCTGACCTGCATGTATTTAAATCCTGTATCTGAAAATAAAAATATTTAACAGGTCAGCATTATAAAATAGGACTTGCACCTTTTGTTGGAGGCTCATCTGAGAATATTGGAGATCCCCAACATGCAGAGCTCCACTAAAGACTTCTTAGCCACTTAAACAACCTTCGATGCAAACTGTTGTGAAAGGGAAAGGAAAACGATTCTATTTAAGCTTTGTACACATTAAAAAATTTATTGTTCAATTATTGCATGCTTTTAAAACACCTGCCCCCTTCATCGAAAAGAAAAGAAAGAGGATAAACACAGCTGCAGAGCTCCACTGCTCAGGTGGAAGAATCTCTTCACAACATATCTGATCTTCACAGAAAGGTAGAACACAATTTGCAGTCCCAGGTAGACTGTGCCTAATGCAGAAGACACACTGTGGAAGAAGGCGCTTTTTGGCTGCCATGGAAAACCAACTAATAAGAGAGGGAGGAGGCAACATTGGTGGGACGCTTCAGCAGGACAGGGGAGATATTTAAAGTGGATGGAGATGATTAAAACCTCAACTTACAGCCAGAGCTGCAGTGAAACGGTCCTCCTGAAGCACATGTTACGTTGACCCAGGGAAAATCAAAAACTAGGATAATGTTCAATAATTTAGTCCAGTCTGCTAGAGTCAAGGTGCACAAATTCTGTATTCAAAACTTCTAGATCTTTCCTCTAACAGACTGCAGTCAGATGATGCTGCAGAGGGGATGTAGCTCTCTAGCAGGACGGTAGGACTGGGGCACCAGTGCCAGAGATGAATACCGCCACAGTGGTGCAGACAAAGTGAAAGCTTCCTTTGTTTTTGTTATATCTATATAACACCTTTTTCCTTCACACATATGTTCCAATTTGGTTTGTTACTTAAAACACTTAAAGGACATTTGTTTTAACTAGGTGGTGTGTGTTTAGGGGTTCAAAATTCAGAAATAAATTGCACTTTTACTGGAAAATCACATATTTAAACTGGTTGTCCTGCAATGGGCAAACAGTTGATCCACCCTGACATTTACACCCCCCTAATGACCGCTCACCTGGACTGGAAAAATGTTCTTCGGGGAAAAGTGGAAGTTTTCAAATAAACACATTTCCACGACACAAATTGGCCAAATGTAATAAAAGGATCATGCAAGGCTAAAATAAACTAGAAAATATTTGAATGTGAGATAAGCAGAAGGAGTTGGCATGTCCTGCCTACGCAGATCAGGAATCTGGAGGGGAAGAAGCCCAACACACCGAAAGAGGGCAAAAAGGGACCTCTGTGGGACTTTTCATGGATTGTAAAAAGTGCATCAGTAATGTGAGCATAGTTCATAGTTTAAGTCCTGTCCAAATTGAGAGAAAAAAAAAATGTGTGTAAAACAGGTTTAAATTTTCAGCTTATTTTCTATGTGCATGAGGGCGAACGGTGGAGGATGTGAAGTAACTTTCTTGTTCAAATGTACAAAATGCAAAGTCCAAACATCAAAGTTCAAACGGTTCAGGAAAGAGCCAGTGCACCGCTAATGCTCAGCACTATCCAAGTCAAGTATATTTAATCCATCTTTTTACAGCATTAAAAGTCTATAGGAGAGACATGGATGCACATTCCAGCTTGTTACCGGGGAGAAAAAACCAAGGTGGCGACAAACCACTGGCAGCTGTTAAATAATGGAGCACAAATTGGTGAGAAGAGAGGAAAACAATATGTTTGGGCTTATGAAGAGAAAGAAAAGCCTCAGTTTGATGGACAGGCAGAGTGGTGAACATATTAGCATCTGTGCTGCTGGTTGGTAGCAAGCTCTTAATAAAAGAAGGTTCAGACTGCTGAGCTGAACGTGACAAAAGTCGTCCGTTTAAAAAAAAAAAAAACGGTTGGCGTGGTGCCCAGAGGAGCCGGGGCACTCAGGTTTTTTTTGTGTGCGTGATTGGATCCTCGCACCTGGATGGAACTCAGTTGCTGAGGAGAAGTTCTGTTGCCGTTTCCACATCCCAGGATTTTGAAGACAAGGCCGCTATCACTGCATTCTAAACACAAGAGGAGGGGAAATGGTTGAACATGTGATTATCTGCAAACTATTGCTTTTTTATATTGAAATATATAATTAAGAGCTATAAAACTTAATTTTCTTGGTCCAGGTTTGAACATTAGTTCCTCATTTCTGCTATAAAAATTAATTTTTTTTTACGTCCAAATAGGACGTGCCTTATTATTGCAGGTGGTCATTATAGATAGGAAGCCAAGAGATCAAGGGAAAAAAAAAAAAAGTTTTGTTTTTTAACTTTTTTTACTGGCAATGCTGGAAAGAATATATCAAACCTTTAAATTACTAATCCACCTGTATATAAGGGAAGATTGAGTGAGGCAGCTTTTTATTCACAGTCACAGCATCTGACTCCTTATGAAAGGTATGTTTTCTGGTCTTCTCCCCTTTAAAGACCGGCTAAGAGACATGGGAGGGTTTTGTACCATAATCAGACTTATATTTTACGAAAGCAGGAAGTTGTGAATATCCAAGTTAAAAGATTTTGATCAAATAAAAAAGAAAAATTTTACTTTTTTTTTAAAAAGGTATAGTGGAGGATTTTCACAAATATTTGAAAAGACCCGCCCCCTCCACTGAAAAACAATGCACATGCACAACCCTGTAGCCGCTCCCGAGAGGATACACCTATTAAACACGTGTGAGAGCGTGCAGGAGCCCCTTTCTCCTCGTGCATGCTCTGCTTAAAAGTTGCATCGCTCATACAAGCTTACTTTCAAAAAGTAGATTTGCAAATTTTCCACTATGTCAGACTCACCACTGGTAAATGAAAATGTGGAAGAGCACGGAGGAGGGCCTTACGTAAACATATCACCAGAATGATTGACAATTAGAAGGACCACTTATTTAGATGATCCACCTGGAAAAAGAACATCCTCCACTGTGCCTTTAACCCACAGCTTAATCAGTGAGGAATTAAATTACATTCAACTGATTCTTTACTACTATTGACTCATTTAAAGCCATTTTACACATTGCTATCAGAGGTGCAAATAGTTGAGGTTTCTGCCTAAACATATAAAAAAAAAAAAAACAACCAAGAATCAACAATTTCATTATAAAAACAACATATAACTTCCCTCCAGTAGATGTCAATTATCTTCTACTTTTCTGACAGGTTTGAGCATCACATTAGAATTTAAACGTATAGAGGACGGTCTTTTATTCTGAGTGGATCATCTAAATAAGTGGTCCTCCTGATTGTCAATCATTCTGGGGATATTTTTACGTAAGGCCGTCCTACGTTCTTGCCTCGTTAGCTACATTTTTCTGCACATGCACACTTGCAGGTGTGTATGTGGTGAGCTACGGTTTAAGTCATTAAAGCTCACCTTTCTCACCACGGTTCTGTTGAAAGTGGCTGAGGGTGGCAAGAGAAAAAGTGTCTACGAAGTGTATGAGAAGAAAAGAAAGGCTTCAGAAGAGGCAGATATATCCCGGAATACTTTGCACGGAGTGCATTATGGGATTTGTTGTCACAGCCCGTGACTAATAAATATGGCGCTGGCACTGTCTGTGGACACAGTACGCTTGTATTAGCTACGAGTACAGCACATTTTAAACAGGGTGCTCACAAGGAGAAATGGGCTCATGCATGCTCCTGCACGCCCATTTTTTTTTTTTTTTCTTTAAAGTGGAGAGGGCGGGTCTCCACAATACCTTAATGTTGGGTTTCAATGCAGTGCAAAGGAAACAGGGCCGTGTCTCTAACCTTATCGAAGCCCATGGCACAGAGTTTGTCTATTTTTCTTGTGTAGTCAGGACTGGAGACTGGAGCGCCTGCATAGACGTGCGACCACAGCCTGGCTGTCTGTTTGAACATTTCAGGGTTCTGCTTGTACTGAGGATTCAAAGCAGAACATTCAGTTAGTACAATTTCAACCCAGTGAAAATATTTTTTACATGTTTTAGGTACTTGTTTTCTAAATAAGTTAAAGCACAGGGAAGCAGGAGTGTGGTTAAAAAAAAAAAAAGTCAGTCTCACCTGGTTTGCAACTACTGCATCCTGTGGATCGTCTGGTTCTGCAGCAGCAAGAAGAGCCTGTAGGGACAACAGCACCGTCCGCAGGGTCATAGCAGCTGCCCTGAGTGAGACAGATTGAACACTGGAGTAGAGAAGTGGACGAGTTGACCTCTAAACACCACATATCTCAGGGTTTAGCTCGACCCACTCACCACTGGTCTTTCAAAATATCCAGACATATTGCTCCCGTCACCGAACTGATGTTAGGATGCCAGATCTTTGTGATGAAGCGCACCTGCAGAGAGGCAGTTGGGAGTCAGTCTTTACCAATGTGTATACTTTCGTACAATGGATTTTATTTTTTTACATGAAAGAAAAAAAAATTTATTTAATCTGTGATTTTAACTGAATGTTTAGAAGGAGCCGTTTGATCAGTCGCCTCAATTTAAAGCATGGTTTAAAAAGACACGTATAGCCACTATTTCTAACTTGAACACAATCACAACGTTGTTATAACTAAACATTTGTTTGCAGAGGTACATTTGATGCATACTCTAAAAAATTAGCAACGGTTGAAATGTTGAGATTCTGATCATGGCTCTGACCTTGTGCCTTACTTTCTCTTTCACCTTTCTGTTTTGCAGAGTCATGGCGTACAAATGCACTGAGCCTCAAACACTGTCTGTCCAGAGACTTTCAGAATATTACACAATTTATATACGAAATATGGATTAAGACTCTATGTGACCAAAAGTAAAAATCTGATATATAGTTAACAAATTGAGGAGTATAATAAACGCCATTATTCGTCAGTTAACTTAAAAGGGAAAAGAGAAACCTAAAAGCAGCTTTGTGTCGACCCAGTGGCTTCCAGGTGAAGGGAAAGTTCCTTAAAAACCGAAGAACAAAACCTTCAAAGCTCCCACGCAAAAGAAGATCTACTAATAAGGAGGATGTGATAACGATCATATTTAAGCAGAAGCCTTTATCGCTGCTACAGATGGAGGCGCTCCATTAAGTGACATAAACATATCTTTAACTAATCAAATCTTAATCTGAAGCATTTTGGAACTTCATCCTCTACAGCAGGTGTTTCCAAACCAGGGGTATGCATACCCCTTGGTCAGCAAGTGCATGGCAAGGGGTACATTGAAATATTTTATTTATCAGGTAAAAAAAAAAATAGGGCTGGGATCTGTTTTGCTTTGCGAGGACCCAATTGAAAAATTAAACAAGCTTTTATCAACCAAAAAGTTACGTCTTTTTTATATGTTTGAGTTCACCTACAGCTTTTATGCACATTAAACCCAAGCAGAGGAACAGACTGGATGTAGAGAAAAGCCTGAAATCAGCCGTTTTTCCACACTGAGCTATAAGAGCTCATCAAAGCAGCTCAGGTGTTTTAATGCAAACAAAGTAACTAATTAGGTCAGTCTGACTATAATTTTTGTTCTGCATTTCGTTCCCTATTCATAAAGTTTTTTTAAGTTATTTAGAGGAGCTCCAGTTTGATAAATACAGGTTTATAATATGATTTCATTTTTATTTGTATTTATTTTTGATTTCTTACCAACTTCCACACAACATATTTCTGTTCTTTTTTAATTTGAGATGGAATGAATAACATTCTAAAAATTAAATGCTCAAATTAAAAGATTAAGTAAAATGGTCTTTATTTAATTTACAGTGCGTTCCACTTTTTGACAATCAATACTTTTGACTGAGAGGGGACGACAAAATGCCCAAAAGGGTACAAAAGTCAAAAAAAGGCTGGAAAAACACTGATCTACAGTACAGCTTCACCAGCTAGAAAATATCATTTAAATGCAACAGAATACCTTCTCTAGAAGAAAGGAATATATTTTTTACATTTTCTTTTAAATGTGCTTATATATTGTGATGCAGCATTTCTAACAAAGAAGCTTTCACCTTTAAAACCACATACCTTGTAAGAATAGTAATAAAAGGTACTGCGATGTTTAATACCAATGGTTACAATTTAAGATAAAAAAAAAATAAAATGAGGGGAGCTAGAATTAAGCCTTGCTGAACACCACAGATCAACCATTCAGATACCTACCTTTGGAGGGTTAAATGGGTAGGTTTCTGGGATTTTAATTTCAAGCTGGTATCGGCCACCTTAAAAACCAAAAATGTAAAAAAATAAAATAAAAAGATATTAAAACAGGTATCTGTGCTTCGATTTTTAATAGAGAAATCCAGGTGTTTACCTTCATAAGATGTGTCTGGTGGTCCTGCTATTTCCCCCCTCAGCTCTGTGAAGTTCTCATCTACCAAATCCACTTTGATCTGGTTTTTACTGGTCTGGAGATTAAGACAGAAAACAGAAACAACATTGATATATATTCTGATATGGTTCCTTTTTTTAAAATAAAAAAATACATCTGTTCTCTGTGTCTAAAGGATATCTTTACTTTTATAATCAAAAAACGGATTGTTTGCTGGAGCAAAGCTACTTAAAAACTAAGAATTAGCAATAACTCTTCATTAGGAAATAACATTTCCATTAACAGTGACCACAAACAGGCGGTTAAAGGCACATAATGTGATGCTAATGCTAACTGTAGATGACATCAAACTAATGCTTCCTTAACAGACTAAAAGCAGTTGAAACACCGGTTGATTCATTGAGTCGTGATCATTCATGGCACATGTACTGCAGTTTTATTTTTATTTATATATATAGGTTTGTTTCAGGTTGGTTATTACTCAGATTGTTGGTAACAAGAGGCCTGTCAGTTGCCAATGTTGTGAATCCCCGGTGTTTCCTGAACGCACCCATCTGACATCATGTCAGCTCTGCGGGCATTTCTGAAGCTAACGCCTAGCTAACTTAAGTTGTGATGATGCAACACAGAACCAACACCTCCACAGGTAATGCCTGTCCTCCATGAAAGCCTCGCTTTCCCCGCACGTTTAAAAAAATGAATGTAAAATAAAGAGTAAAGGATAGAGCAGGTAGGGAGCGAAAGCAGCCAAACCTCCTCGCTTTTGAGAACTTCTTTGAACTCTCGCTTGATCCTTTGGACCGCGATGTTCGCCATGGTGTTGTGTGTCCGCTGAGCCGCCGCTGCCTCAGGGCTTTTCTCCCGGTCTGATCGGTGTGAGGATCGCCTGCGCTTCTCTCACTCTTATTGGGTTCCTTTCACTTTGACCATCTAGCGCTTCATTTCAGCTCCCAGCGCCTGCCTTACAGCGCAGAGTCAGCGTCAGTCAGTCATGGAGTCCAGAACATGCTCACAGAGAGCAGCGGTGGATGGAGCACCAGCTGGAACCTTCATTAATGAGCTTGAGTGACACAGACAGACAGCATGGGCTCTACTCACACTGCTAATCAGGACATTTCCCACCCTACACTCCACCACTGAGAGAAGACAGGACTTTATATCTGCTTAAATTGCAATTTACTTGATTAAAATTTACTTAAATAGAAAAAGGTGAATACATTTATTTACAAATGATCATCTTAAGATAACAGCTTTATTGCTTATATAAAATCATATTCCAACAATCCAAATTTACGTGTAACTTATATTTTGCATTACAGTTTAACAGAAACATCCAATACCTCAACAGCAACATAAAATCAGGGACGGAGATAGATGGGGGGCCAGATGGCCATGCCCCCCTTTAAGGCTGAGTTAAGGGCGGACTATACTTCTGCAACCGCACACATCAAATGTCCCTTGCGTCTTGTCGCGAACCAGTTTTGCTGGTATGCCCCTGCACCGTCGGTCTGGAATTCCTAGGGATGCACAGCCATTTACCACCAAAGCGCAAGGGGGAGCCTATTCGAGAACTTGCATGAACTTCGGTGGATGGTCGTGAGAACTTCTTCGGCGGTGCCGGCGGAAGTATTTATTTTCCAAAATGACATCTCAGAGGCATAGTACAAGTGGTTGTACTTCCAAACCTGCTCGTCATAGTTATCTATTGTTGTTATTACTCCTTGGTTTTTAAAAATGGAACGCCCCGGCACTGAATCGAGAAGGACGAACAGACAGACAGCTGGAAAGGCATACCAAGGACCAATCAGAGCTGCTTTTTGCCTGCGCACTTAGGTTTGAGGTCTGCGCGGCTTTGCGACCGTCCGACATGTAGTCAGGATTTTTCTGAGGCGCGCGACGAAGGTTGCAGAACCTCTGCACAATCCTCCAGTATATATATATATATATATATATATATATATATATATATATATATATATATATATATATATATATATATATATATACTGGAGGATTGTGCAGAGGTTCTGCAACCTTCGTCGCGCACCTATATATATATATATATATATATATATATATATATATATATATATATATATATATATACACATATGTATATATAGTACAGGTGGATGGGTTAAATGCAGAGGTAAATTTCCCCAATGTGAGATCATGAACGTTCATTTTTGATTTTTTTTTTTTTTTTTTTTTTTTACATAATCAGGATGCCACATAACGCCAACAAGTTGGTTCCAAACTTTAAAAAAATTCCAAAAATTAAAATATATTATGTATGATATATATTATAATATATATAATATTCTTGCATGATTTACATTGGTTTGACCTATGACAAAGAACTAAAATATTCAAATGTTTGGTTACAGAGAAACCCAGATGTTTAAAGTACTGTGGATCTGCACTGACTGTTACCAGCTGGACTGTTTGTTTACTATCCTGGATGAAAGATTTCTGCCTCTGTGATTGGTCTAGAGACATGCCTGTCAAATATTTAGACCAATGGCAGAGGTGCGTCTCACCCAGAGCATGGTTGGTCAGAAGGTTCTATGGTTGACATGTCTGCGGAGGTTTGACGGTGATTGTTGGCATCAGTGGCGCTGCAGCAGAGCAGCACAGGCCGGAAAAAACACACTCAGTCGTTTCTGAGTATCTCCAAGCTTTAGTAAGTTGTTTTCTTTTCTTTGGTTTTCTTTATCTGAGTGTTTAGCGATAGAGAAAGGAGCGGAGAACATGGCAGGCTGTTTTCCCTGCCTGTCGGACCAGAAGCTAGTTTGCTAAATGTGTTGAAGAGCACAGAGGGGGAAACCCGGAAGGTCTCTAGCAAAGAAGTGGAACCTGAGCTTTTTAAAAGTTCTGGTTTCAGTTATGTTAGCATGAAGTCAGCTGTTTCTCAGCTGCTCTACAGATGTTAGGTGTTCACCAATGGACGGAGCTGCGCTGATTAAAGTAGATCTACCTAAACTTTTCTACATTTCCCCACCCGCCTTGCTTTTAGCAATTTGCCTTCTAAAGTAAAAAACAAGAAAAGAAAACCGTTTTTAAATCAACCGATAAAATGTTTTTTTGTTTGTTTATTGAAAACAGGGATTTCCTACTTGTATCGAAAATCTTAACTTGAAATGCTTATTTAAGGTTTTCCAGGATATATATATATATATATATATATATATATATATATATATATATATATATATATATATATATATATATATATATATTTATAATTTTTTTATCACTCTGAAGTGCCAAACTCACACTATCAATAAATGTCTTTTTTCTGGACTCCAAATTCCCAATATTCATACTTCTTTGTGTTTATCCCCCTTTACTCTTAAACCCCTAAATGAAATCCAGTGCAGCCATTTTGACTCCACTAGTATTGTCATTAATAAACAATTTATGTTTCAGTGATTCTCAGTATAACTCCAGCTGTCTGTAAGAACATTATGAAACAAATAATATCGTTAAGATTAACAACCAACAGACGGATTAAAGAGAAAATGGAGAAGCTCAAAGCAAGGACAGCTTATTTGATAATATCCCAAATTCCGACCATTTTAGGGAGCACATTAAAAAAGGAAAATAGAATAATCACCCAGAAATTGCACTTCTAAAACTGCTCCTACCTGGTCATCTACCTAAACTGAGAGCATTAATAAGAGGAGCATCGAAGAGGACATTTGGAACTTTGGAGGAGCTGCAGAGATCAGCCGCTCCAGTTGGCTAATCGCTGGATTTGAATTGTGCACTCTAATAAATCTGGCCTTTATGTCCGAGGTGGTAGGAGGGTATTTATGTTTTTTAGTCTGTACAGATGTTACCTAAATGAACTTGTCATCATTTGAGCTTGAAATGTTTGTTTCCTGATGTTCAAAGCGTACAGACCTCTACCCTGAAAGATTTACAGCTATAATAGTGGTGAAAGGGGATTCCAAAGAACGAAAACAAAGACTAAACTAGGGTGACCAGATTTGGGTTTCTGAAAAGGATGACACCTTTTTTTTTGGCGGGGGTTTCGGTCGCTCCGTCCACCGGAGTTTCCCGACCAGCCCTGAAGCTCACAGCTCACTCCTGCTGTACTCCTGTGATTTTAAAATTCCCCCTGGACATTTTTTTAGGTATGAAAAGTAGGAAATGTCCGGGAAAAAGAGGATGTCTGGTCACCTTAACTAAACTGTTCAGATTACAAAGAAATAGAAACAATTAACTTCTTCTTTCCGCTGCCCTTTTTAAAATCCAAATAAGATAGGTGGAAGTTTGTTTCTTGCAGAAAGTGTAAAAGGGTTTGATGTATGCATATATATGCATGGTACTGAACAGCTGGTCATTTAAGTGGAGGATTAAGAAAATCCTTCCATCTAATGTTTCACATCTTACTGGTATTAGTGAGTTTTCAACATGGGATATCTTCTCAGATTTCACAATTATTAGGATTGTGGTCGACAGTAAAATAAAAAGATCTACAGGATGGAATAAGCTTTCTTAAAGGTATGAAGGAGGATTTTTCTCAGAAAAAGTGTCCAGATTATTCTAAAATGAGATAATGGTTGGGTATTAATCTTGCACTAAGCCCCCCCCCCACAAAATCCATAAACTCTGTGGTGGGACCTAAAGAACATTAGCCAATCTACTTTGCCTTCTGTCAAATCAAACATTTTGCGTACGTGCCCCCAGTACATATTTACGTAGGCTCCAAGCATAACTCGTACGTTATTTGCCTAGCAGTCCTCCATTATGACAAAGCAAGAAGATGTACTCCCAAGCTTGTTTGCTGGGTTGCGTTTTTTTTTTTATCTATTTGTTCACTCTTTTGTGTAAACTCGAGCATCAATGGCCGAAAAGAATCCTGACAAACTTAACTGGAAAAGAAAGCCTTTTTCCAATGTAGTTGAAAAGAGGAGAGAACGGTGCAGCAGAGCCCTCTTCTTCTTATGGAGATTTCCTAATTACTAGGTGCATGCTGGATCTTTGCTGCCTCTCTAGGTGAAGTACAAGATTACCGGTGGAGGCATTTCCAGCGTAGAGAACTTTAGCGGACATATCTACCGCCACAGAATCCTCTTTCCTGCCTTTAAATTTGATTTGGCTCATTATAGTGTTAGAATAGGCTTTGATTTACAGTATAATTTAAACAAAGAAGCTGTCATAATGTGATTAAGTACATATTATGGGGTTTAGACTAAAATGCCAACACTATGGAATGCATATATCCGGTGGGTCGATTAATCTGCACCAAAATCGGGTCCAGATTTGCTAAACTTGTGTTTGATGATGGATACTCGAATTTATAGCTGCAGCCTTTGAAGGACCCAGTCCAGGTAGACTTCTTTCCTTCGAAGGCCGATAAAATAAGGAAGCCGGAAGAGTTGGGCTATAGATTCGAACACATCAAGCGCTCCTGGCTGTCGGCGCCCCTCACTCAGCATATGCTTCGTCGCCTAGCAACAGTGACAGTTGACTCACAAAGCAGGCAAAGAACTGATGCTGAACTACTTTCTGCTGTTCTGTGTAATAATTACATTTAGTTTATTGAAAGGTTTGTATGTGTCCCTGTGCAAACGGGTTTGGCTGGCATTAAAGCACAGATTCTAATATCTGTGCAGTGTGGGGACCACAAATCTGATATCCACGACATCGGTACTGCTGCTGAAGCCTCTCAGCAATGTAATTAGCACACAGAACAGTAGTAAGAAGTTTAGGTTTTCCCTTTTTTGTTGCTAGGTGACAGAGTGTACGCTGGATCATTTTTGAATCTACAGCCGAACTCTTCACAACCCTCAAAGGACCAGTCCAGGTAGACCGGGTCCTTGGAGGCACAGTCACTGAAATCAAACACACCCAAATAAAAAAAAAAATCCACTGGACTTGGTTTTCAAGATTTGAAGACATTTCACTACCTCTCCAGGAAGCTTTCTCAATTCCGATCCAGATATTTGAATTGAGGAAGCTTCCTGGAGAGGTAGTGAAAGGTCTTCAAATCTTGGAAACCAAGTCCAGTGGATTTTTTTTTTTTTTACTCTTTCCTTTTATTTTCAATTCTGATGAACCTGCATAAATACTGTCTTTCAATTACTTCTGTTTTATCAGAGTAACAAAATCTTTGAAAAAGACACTTCAATAAGACTTTTAGATTTAAAAGGAGGAAAATATTCTTTTAATCATAAGAACTTGTGCCATAGTTGTAGCGCCTCTAATAATTGCTGTAGAGCTAAAGTTACTAGAGCATGTTTTTTAAAATCTGTTTTATTTTAAAGTATGTTAGTGGATCTAGAAACTTCTACCATGTAATGCATGCTCTCCTATGTATAAACTTAAAGTAGGACGTTGAGATGCTCTTCAATGTGGAAAAAGTCCAGAGAAAATAGGTTGTTAACCCTGCCATTATTTACAGTCTGAAAAATCACTGAAAAAGTTGTAAGCGAAATCAAATGAGGATCCAAGTTTATCTTATCTCGGTGAGAAGAGTTGTAAGGGAGTTATAAAGATAGGCCTCTTTTTGTTAGTGAGATAACTGGTCTTAAATGAGTTAGTTGGACCTATTGTGGTTTTGTTTTGCATGTATGAAACTGGCTTTCAAGATACAAAATCATATAAAGCAGAACAGCAGTTAACATTTGCAATCCTCCTCTGCTGCTTTCTGTATCAACCCAGATAACGCAGAGCCCGCCGACGCTCCTGTCTGAGCAGACTCCTCCTCCTTTGTGTGTTTGTTACCGTGAGGCAACAATACAGCAGTGACAAGAGGCAGGCTTGGATTTCTGTCTCTTGTTCATGGATGCCCTGCTTATATGAAGTGCCTCTGTTTCAAGGTGGATACCTGCTGGTGAGAAATGGCTGAGGGAGGCTTTGACCCCTGTGAGTGCATCTGCTCTCATGAGTATGCTATGAGGCGCCTCATCAACCTGGTAAGCAGCAAAAATGAACGGATTTTTTTTAGAGTGACATTTAAGACTGAGACGCAAAGGTGGTTAAAAGTGTTTGGAGTAAATATTGGGATAAAATCTAACATAACTGAGCTTTTACAGCTTGTTAGGAAAGTGAAAGTAATAACGGAGGAGAAATGAGCTTTAAAGACGTCACAGAGTGAGGCAGGATAAGATCCTGGTTCCTGGTGTGTGTTTGCTTTGCTTCTCAGTGACGTCTGCCTTCTGTTAAATCACTTTTATTCTGTGTTTGTTTTTAATCTCTAATCGACTGAGAATTAGTTAAAGGTGAGAGTTTTAGCTGTAAAGCTTATGCCATTCATCCCGCTTTTATTTTCTGTGACTTTATTTTCCCTCTGTGCTCAGCTGTAACTTGCCTGGCAGGTTGCAGTTGGCTGATTACTGGAAGCCACTCTGAGCTTTCTGATTTGCTCACAGCAATAAGGGGTGTTGTCCTAATTATGAATAGATCTCAGATAGTATTTCAGGAGCTATAACAGAAGATATGTTATCGTTTTGTGACTTCAAGTTATATTTGGTGATTTTATTCAGCATGTTTCTTCTTTTAATTTCAGCTCAGGCAATCCCAGTCGTACTGTACAGACAACGAGTGTCCTCTGGAGTGTACGTACGCCCACCGTCCGTATACGACTGTGTGACATAACAGTAGAAACATGGCCTGCAGGCTATTTCTCCCATAGGGTTGTCTGAACCTTTTGTATTTCTGCACAGTGCCAGGGCCCGGTGGGTCGGTGGGTGGAGGAGATGACCTGACCCTGCCGATGGTTCTGATGGGATGGGTGGTGGTGGCCCTGGTCCTGTTTCTGCTGCGCCCATCCAGCCTCAGAGGAGCCCGTCCAACAGGCAAACCCTCTGGACCTCACACTGTCAGTACTGATCACTCTTTCTTTGCATAAGTTGGCCTTTTCAACATTTCCACACTTTGATATAGTTCATTCAGAAGAAAACATCTTTTCAGAATTTTGTAACGTCACAAACAGAAATTTCAATATGTGTGTTTGGATTTTACACAATAAACAAATGCATATTAGTTCATAGAATCGGCAGAAAGAATCGGTATTCTTTAATATTACTTACACATACAAATATGAAACCACAGCTTAAATACCTTTTTTTTTTGTAGAAACACCTGTTGCTGCAGTTATTACTTTAAATGTTCCCATATTTGCAACTAAACATTAATGAACTAGCTCAAGATAAGTCAGATTGGATAGAAGACATTTCTGGACATCCTTTGACTGGGTTAGTAGGAGGCTGCACCTCATTGAGGGAATGGCGCCTCCTACTGGTTGTTTGAAAATGGCTTAGTTCATACACTACCTCCATAATTTAGCAGAGATACAAAAGGCGACTGTCAACCAGCTCCAAAGGCGGCCCAGGAAACACACAGCCAGACAGCGGAACTCCGAGCCAGCTCCCATGTCAGAGGATGAGGAGAGCACATAGAATTAGTCAGAGAAACAGGACTACACTGGAAAACAGGCCGATCTCCAACATCTATAAACAAAGATGTTGATGGCAGCAGACCAGCTGATATTTCTCTACAGGATGATGTCACAGCCAAACAGGAACAGACGAGGCAAAGCTACTATGAGAAAAAGCAGAGAGAGCAGAACGTTAGAGGTTGAACTAACAAATTCTGCAGAGATTTCCTTATTGTTGCATAATGAAGATAAAGGTTATTTATTCTTGAAGCTAACCCAAGCCCATTACACCCCTCCACGACCTCATCCTGAACCCGTTTAATGTGTGTCCTGGTCTTCACGCCGCTGTTGACTCTAGCAGTTAGATTTAAGGTCGGGTTAGATTACACACAGGCTGACTTTATTTAGGGGACATCTGAATTAAACTAGCTGCTTCCTAGTTTGTTGGGGTTATAATATTAAAGGCAGGAAGGTACAAATACATTCAACATTTTACATCAGTTATTTGTTGTGGCTATTGTTGACATTATTTTTTAATTCCATGTTAGAATTATTAGCTTTGTGTTGTTCTGCCACACATAATTACATTAAAATACATCAGATCTTGAGGTTTTAAAAGAAAAGTTAATCAGTTCTTTTTTTATTTGCAGAGTGAGAGAAGGGAGCCCCCAGCACCACCAGTGGACTAAGACTGAGTACCAGCAAATCCTCCAGCTGCTCAGACTGGGCATGCTCTGGGCCAATACTGTGAGCAGGACCACCATACGTCAGCCTTCAGTCACATATCTATTGCTTTTTCCCTTTTCTAATCTGGTTACAGTTTTTGTTCTTTGATCAGTTACTTAAACCCAGCTGATGCTGAATCAGTAAAATCAACACAGATCTGGTTGTTACTGTAATAATCATCTATAGAGGTTAAAGAATGTTTTTGCACACATATTTGAAAAAAATATAAACAGTATAGTTATTCTAATCCCGCTATGATTTTTCTTTTCTTCAAACATTGTATCAAGATGGGAAGCTGCTTTCTTCATGCATTTTATCATGATTGTTTATAATAGGCAGTTTGTCATTAACTCCTTGTAATCCAAATAACTGATCCTTAAACACCTTTCAGCACATGTACCATTTTATTTCTTGTACCAAACAGGATATTTTAACCAAACTGTGCTATTTTAAATGTCAGTATATTGTTAATTCAGGTTGTATTAAATCAGGATACATATTTTTGAGTTTGAAGTTGGTCCCAGCTGCAGCACTAAGACCCAGAAACTGGGAGATAAGCTCTGAGTGAAGGAGTGTGCTTCCTGATGAGTGCAGAGATTCTGGGAATTCCACATGGGGTGATTTTCAGTCCCAGTTCCAGGCTTTCCCCATCAGGATTGGTGGTGATTTTTCTTAAGATCTCACTGAAACATTCCACTCTTTCAGGTTTATAATTGCTACATAAGATGTGCCAGTACAGATTTAACAGTAGTTTACAACGTCTTTAATCCGAGACTTCACTATAAAAGCTAGAGTAGCCTAGATATAGGGTTTCATAAGGGGTGTTTCAGAGTTCTGAATTGTTTTTTTTTTTTTAGGTTACAGGCTTAAATCAGGTTCTTAAACTGTCCTAAGAAATCGGTCAGGGTTATTGATTATGCTTCTTTTCAAGAAGGTCTGTCCCTTTATACATCAGCTTTTATAGTAGCCAGACCAAAAAAAGTCACTTCTTTTGTGGCTTTGGTTAATTGGTGATTAATGTTTGCATGTTAATTACTGATTAATTAAAGAATTCCTCTTAAAAAAATATAATCCACCCCAGTCTTCTGAATTATGAAATTCCTTGTGTAAAATAATGACTGAGTCTGGATGGTAAACGGTGCCAAGTTTTACTTTAGAAATCAATTTAAAGCACTTTTTACAAGCGGTGATGCTATATAAAGCTATTTTGTGAAAGAATTGCAGTCAAGAGTCTACGTGCTTTCTTTAGGTTAACACTTATGTCTCTGTGAGCAATATTGAGTGACAACAAAACAGTAATTTTTTCTTCTTTAACTTTTGCACAAAAATAAATTTAAACAAATGCAATCCGCCTAGAGCCACTGAGTAAACCAAATATGCAGCCTTTTTTTCCTCAAGCTTAACCATCATTAGCAAACATCTGGGCTTTGGGCTGCTAAAGCTTTACTCATTAGTTTTCGGTTTGAAGGATGTTCAGTTTTGAAAAACTTTGGGTTTGTGGCTATTTTATTTGAATACCAGCAGATATCTTTATTTTTTTTCTGAAGCTGCCCAGACTACCAGGTTGGAAGGAAAGAGCTTTAGGAATTAGATGAACCATAAGTCATGGAAATGAAGTGAAGGAATAAGATGGGCTGTATCTCTGACAAGATGAGTGACTTCTGTATTTTATAAGAGCTCAAATGACATTGATTCATAGACTAAAGGGCTTTAACTATGCACTTTTCCTACAGTAAAAAAAATAAAGGCTTCAATCTGAATCTCTTATTGGTTTTTGGTGTTTGTTTTGTTCTATATAATCACTTATTTCTGTATCTCCTTAAGGATGATATAACCTTAAAAAAAAGTTCCAAACTGTCACCATATGAATTAGGAAAAATTACAACTACATTTATACATCAAACCATGTTTACTAAAATTAAATTAAAATTTTATTTAACCAGTTAACTTTTTATTTAATTTATTATTGGTTTAACAATTTGAAACTCTGAAGGACCAAGAGAGTCACAGGACAGGGTCTTTTTGCCATCTTCAGCAATCCCTCACCACTGATCTCTATTCACTGGATTGCTGATTTCCTGTTGGTATTAGGGGGTTGAAGTGAAGCCACCGGCAGCCATATTGGTACTCCCTAGTTAGACCGGTCACAATGTAAACAATATGTGCGCTACAGCATCGAACAACGATGATTTTCTCATTTTCAGGGGGATCTAAGACTTAAAATAAAGATAAATTAATCAGTTGGACATACACTGGCTGTTTCATTGCATAAGTAGATTATTCTAACTTCTAATAAAAAATAGGCACATCCCATTACATAGTCATTATGAAGTCAATGAAATCTCTGAATCATGTAATTTAACATATACAAATCCACCACAATTCATGTGTTTATGGAGCATAATAATACAGATGTGACAAAAGTGCAACATTGATCTACATGTAATATATACGTGTATTTATTACATTGTTATAATTACATATAAGGCAGAAATGTTAAATGGAGAGGGTATGAAGATACTAAGATGTTTTTAACTGTATACGACTGTTGATATTTTTTGTATGTGCAAATCTGAATATAAAATGCTATTGCAAAAAGGATTTGATAATGCAATATAAAGAAGAGGAAGAGAAATTTACCTTTTTAAATGTTTGATAAGGAAATGTAGTTATAATCAAATTTATGAATTATGGTTTATACATTTTTTTAGCAATGCAATTTGGAAATTCATTTTCAAATTTGTAGTATTTAAAAATTAATTATTAACACAATCTATGATTCCTCTTTATGCACTTGGTTTGCAATTACACTTTTCAAATTGGATTCCTACTTATGTTAATTTTGAAATGGCTGTATTTTTATTTATTTTTTTTTTATAACTCTCCTGGTGCTCCAATTTTTAAGCATGACTAAAAAGCAAAAATGGAAAACATCTGTGAAGGCAGATATTCACTTCAAAAAATCAGAATTCTGACTTTTTTTCTCATATTATACTGAAATAAATTTTAAAAACAGTTATCTTTTGGACCTAATCCTCTTCCATATAATTTAACTTAAAAAAGCAACAACTAAAAAATAAAAGTTTTATAAAAATAACAAAAACGTTTGAGCATGCGCAATGTTGACCGCGCGCCTGGTCTCCCTGGGTTACCATCAACAAGTAGATTAGCAGGGGCAGCAATGCTAGCTTGGCTTCGGTTTATTAACCCAATCTAAGCGGGTATGTGTTTTTAACAATACATGGCAGCCTGTCTATAGTAGGGACTTCTTACTATAATATGCCTGTGTTGTAGAACAATAAGTAAGAGGCTAACTAGCCTTAGCATACGTTTGTTCGTAGCATGCTAATGCTTAAGAGAGCGAGCTGTTTTTGTACTGTTCGGTTTACATGATGGCAGATCAGGGGGTTAGGACACTTGCATATACAAAAAGCCCCAAAATATCGAAAAGAACTACATTCCAGGTAAGAACTTTTATGTATTTAATTCGGGTTTTAAAGCAGTGATGTTTCAGCCTTTAAATAATTGTTTGAATAATTGTGTTGTAGGATGAACTCCAGGCTGCTGTGTCCTCCAGGGAGAGCAAAGCAAAAGCACAACAACATCTCTCCTATTATGATGACTGGGACGATGAAGGAGATGGTAAGCTGTCCAAACACTGAAGCGTACATTTAAAGACCTATAGAATAACTATAACCACAAAGGGTTACTTTAAATTTAGCAAGATATATATTTTTTGTAAAATCAGTCAAACTTTTTCTGGATATAGTTTGTCATTTGTCAAGACTGCTAAATGTTATATAAAATGGGTTATTAAAAAACAAAAAAACAGAATGTTAGAACTGTAACTATACAGTCATATTTTTACATCACTTTTGTTCATCACAAGGCTTTTATCACTGCTGCTTACCTTATTCAGGCTTCACTTAAAAAAAAGAAATAGTCCAAATCAGGGGTCTTCAACGTTTTTTAGGCCAAGGACCCCCAAACTGATGGTGAGATGGAGGGGGGACCCCCTAATTATATATATTGTATGAAATAGTTTTATATCAAACTGGTCCTATAGTCACTCTATTACAGATGGTCATTAACGAAAGTAATTTCTCTGGGATTATTAAAGTATTTTTGATTCTGATTCCTTGTTGATGGGACAGGTATTGTGAATGAGAACTGCTGAATATGTGCATTGAAGACTGAAAGACATCTTCTGCTTCCATTTATCTACTTACTACAGTGTGTTGAATTCATTTTAATGTGTATTTACAGACATTTCAAATAGTGTAAAAAAAAAAAAAAAATGCAGGGGGGAATATAAAAAAAATCAACCAAAACTTTCGTGACCCCCATGCACTACCTCCGTGGACCCCCTAGGGGTCACGGACCCCCTGTCGAAGACCCCTGGTCTAGAGAGCTGTACTTAACGAAATTTCTTTTTGTTTACACTTGTGTGTACAAAATGACAAAATCAAATCTGTCTGTCTGAGTCACTCAGTCAGTCAGTTAGTTAGCTAGTTAGTTAGTTAAAGCAGCAGTTCCTAACCTTTTTTGATTTGTGTTCTCCCTTGGCCATTTTATCATACCAGGAGTATGTGGGTCAAATGGGCTGATTATTGTCCAAAAATAGAAAGCACAACTGATTATAAAGTGAAATATATTTATTTAATTGCCTTAACTTCAACAATTAATGCTCAGATATTTCATGATTTTCAATTAGAATAACCATGAACATGTTTCCTGGAAAAGTGAATAAGTAATGAAACATATAAGAAATAAAATTGTGTTACGAATCTACAAATTGTAGCTCTTCTGAAAAAGTCCCCTATACACACACATCTAGACTTGACAAAACAGGAACAAAAAAATAATATTCAGATTCACTGTAATTTTTACTTTATTTCCTTTTTTACTTTATTGAATCACCTGACCTTCTCTTGAATCCCCAGCAATGGGATGATTTATCCATTTATCCTTGACTGCAGCTGCTTTGGAGCTTTCTTCTTTTGTGACCTTTGTCTTTGCCCTTGAGAACAGTAGTGCAGGTGCACTTCACCAATACCCACTCTATCTGTCTTTCATGTAAACGTTGATTAAATTTTTTTTAAATCTTTTTGGTTGATAAAATCTTGGTTTATTTTGCATTTGGGTCTTACAGAGCAAAACCCTTCCAGGCCCTGTTTTATTGTATTTCTCTGTCTGGGAAGTACATTATTATATGTTTCCAAGCACCCCCTGCAATGCATTGGCGGACCACAAGGGTCACTAGTACCCCTGGTTGGGAATCACTGATTTAAAAAGCAGCAGATCATGGTGAGCTTATCTATTTATACAGTGTTATCAAGGGAAAATACCCATTTTTGGAAAAATTATTCATCACATTCACACACCTCAGATTAATTTACCTGGTATCTGTGTTTGTTTATTTTTCAATATTTGAATGGCTTTTTATTGAAATTCTTCCATCAGAGGTGTTTACTAGTATTCTGTATTGCTGCACATTAAAAAAAGGTTTGAGCTGCAGGTGAATTTAAACGGGTTTCAGAGAAATATTGCATGACACAGAAAATGTTTGTTAAAGAAAAGTCTCAGACAGACAGGAACTGCATATGATTAGTGTAAAACAAATCTCCAGGAATCACCTATTGCCGACAGCACACAGATGTCGTTCAGATGGAGCAATTGAAACATGTGGACTTGAACAATTAAAACAGCCTAAAACCAGTCCTGCAGCATCCAATGGGATTTTAGTAGTGTTATTCTGGGTGAAACACCTAAATTAACACCTTCACTTCTGAAACTTTGTCCTAATCTGTCAGTCCATATTAATGGTAAGCATATATGGAACTTTCCTCGTCATACAGATTTGACTGGATTCCCAAACACGTGTTCACACTATTGCATGGATCAATAGGTTAATTATGAAGTGCCTTGCCTTCCTTTTTTGGGAGAGAAAGAATCTGATGTAGGTCATGAAATCCAGCAGTGTAAATACATCCTTCGTTTTCTGCTGGGTCTCTTTAGTTTGTGCACATTTAGACTGAATATGCCACCAGAGAGTAGCTATAGATCTAACGATGTTGTCTAATGACTTGAATTTGCTTTTCCCTTCTGGTGTTTCAGATTTTTTGAACAATCTCCTTAAATCTAGAAAAAAGAAGATTGACGCTTTCAAGGCCGGGAGGAGTAAAGCGACATTTAACACCTTTGAACTTTCAGATGAAGAGGGAAAACAGAGCAAGCCGAAAAAAGTTTCATTCCTAAAATCCCAAAGAAGCAGCTCTTACTCAAAAGACGCATCAGCTTCTGAGCCAGATGAGTCTTCTAATGACGGGAATGTCAATGATGGCTCTCTGTCCGCCCAGGGCTCCACAAACAGCAGTGAGAAGTCACAAATAAACCGAACCAATGTGGAACCTAACAGTGACCTGATCACAAAACAGACCTCTAGTATGTCATATCAAACATCAGATGATGCTCTTTCTTTACCGTTACCGTCTGACGGAAGTGTCGGTGAGACACCAGGTCCAGAAGACAAAGAGACAGATTCTGTAGTGGAGGAAACCTCCCAGCTGCCAGCAGTATCTACTCCTCGCCATGACAACACTGTTTCAGCTGGTTGGTTTAATTGGCTTGTTTGACTCTTATTTAATAATAGAAAGTTTAAAAACTTATTCTCATAGTTTCATTTTGTTTGATTATTCAGACAGCGTTACAGAGAAGGAACCACCTAAACCTAAACCTCGCCAAAGGACTCTTGGATTGAAGCCAAACATTTCGCAGAACAAAGCCGAGGAGGAAAGTGGAACTCAGGATTTCAGCAGATCCCAGACATCGTCTATGTCCATCCTCTTCTCTACCGATGCATCCAGCACCATAGCAGTAAGAGCTGGAAACGTTAGAAACTAGTGTCAAAGTACATAGAATAAATCAATGTGAGTTTTAAACTCTCCCAGATAGACAACAGCAATCCAGTTTCAAAAGCTTTACGATATGAAATCTCAGATTTTAAGTTTTTTTTTTTTTTTTTTCTTATTTTGCTCACATTAGAATTCTTGAGATTATTTGATTGATTTCTATGCTTTTTTAATTAAAAGTACAGGAGTCTGTTCATAATTATTACATTTTATTTGCATCATTACATCATTCTAACAGATTAAATCAGATTAAAGAGCACTATTCAAGTATCCCACGCATGAGTAACAATTTGATTGAACGCTTCTTTACTTTTAGTTAGTTGGTAATATTTTTGGCCTGTTGTTCTTGTGCCTGGCCGAGGTCACTATACAACAAGGGGAGACACAAGTGTCTGTCAAAATGATTTCTAAGTTTCAATAAGAATTTGTATAAGCTAAATAAACCACGTCACAACAACTAAGTCCTGCAGGTGTTAAAAGCCAGCAAATAAAAGCCCTCTTTTAAAATTTGGCAGGGAAAGAGCCTGCCTAATGTGCAGTGAGAGGCTATTCCATAAACGAGGAGCAGCAATAGAGAAGTCTCTGCTCTCTCTTAGCTTCCTCTTAAACCTTGGTACATGCAGGATATTTGATATTAAAGACTATGTGTGATTAAAAATATTATTGTCTGCATATTCTCTTTTGTTTTGGGATAAGAAAAATACAGTTCCCCTTGATTCCCTTGAAATATTTTTGAAAATAATAAAATTTTCAAGTAGCAAGACTATGCAAAATGCTGTGCCTGAAAAAAAAAACTTTAAAAAAACAAAGATAGAAATTAACACTGCGGCAGTATAGACGTAATTAATTAATTAACCAACATGATTAATTAACAAGAATACAAATGAATTTAAGGTTTTCTTTTTAAGCTCTTTCTTTGGTTAAAAAAAACAAACATATAATTTCAGTTTTGTTTTGATTCATTTGAGGGAACTATTTGCACATCCATATCTCTTTAAGTCTAAACTAAACGTGTTTTGTTTTGTTGTTTTTTTGTTGATTCCAGTTGACAGATGGAGATCAGACTTCATGTAGCCCCAGAAAATTGTGTTCAAATAATAGGGAAGAGTCACAAGCGACCACCGGGTCTACGTTTGATTCTAGAGGTAATGACTGACGCCCTGTGGTGGTCAACCTGTAATGCAACTTATTCCTCCAACTGATATTACTGTTTTAGATGGTGTTGTATCCAATGACAGCCTGGAGCCAGGGAGACACTATTCTTCATCATTTGAAGAATTTAACGTAAGTCAATCTTTCTATTAGCCAGCAAGGCTGTGATGGTTTGTCTTTGTTATACATACTTTTGACCTGATTCAATTTTCTATACAGGAACACGTGCAAGGTCCGTCAGATCAAAGCTCTCATGCCCCTGAAAGGTCATTTGACACCAAGTGAGTGAGTAGGCTTCACTGATGAGGCTGCATGAGAGGAAGCCGAAAAACAATTCCCCATCAATGTTTTTTTTTTTTTTTTTTTTTTTTTATGTGGCATTAGGACATCCAGTTCTCACTCTAAGACCACTGAAAGGTCTCAGAGTGCATGCTCCAGAAAGGTGGAATCAAAATATTTGGGAACATTCAAAATTCTGGACCGGAGGCTGTCATTACAGGAGTCGTCACCACAAGCAGCGGAATCTATCAGAGCTGCAGTTTACCAGGTCAGAATGAGTTTTCTTCTCTGCCACCACAGGAGCCCACATTGATCTAGATTCATGCCATCATCGTGTTTGGTGGGGTTTTTTGTTAGGTGGTGATGCAGTTGAGACAGAGGTTCCCCATGCTCTGAGATGCTGCCAATTGTTTACAAAATGATGAGGTCAAAATATGTTCTGTATTTACATTGCTGGTACACACACACACATATTCGTTCTGCCATCGTAGTGTGGACCATGTGTTGACTCCCATTGACTTCCATTGATTTTCAGTCATTTTCAACCCTTTCTATGCCCTAACCCTAAACCTAACCATTACCAATGCATACCTCACCCTAAAACTAACCCAATTTACACCAATTGAGCCCTAAACCATTATAAACCATTAGCAAAATAGCTTGTGAGGACCAGCAAAATGTCCTCGCTTTACAACAACTCGTCCTCAATTGGGTGGTGAAATTTGAAAAATGGTCCTCACTCTTAGGGCTAGACAGGCACACACACACACACACACACCCAAACAAAAAGATGAAAGCATTTATTTATTTGTTTTCACCACTACATAGAATTAAGCTAAATCCTTACATTAAATTGAATATTTTGCAAAAGCATTTTTAAAGACGACGATGAAAGCTGATGGTGGAAGTTTGCAACCTGATTTTTATACAAATACGGGTTAAAGTTTGCTGCTGAGTCAGTATTACATCTTGCTCTAATTGTTGCTTGACGATAAAAAAACAACTTTAATCAAGATTCGACTGGACTAAATATCAGGTTCTGCAACATCAGCCGTTTCAGTTGGCCAACATCGCTGCAGGTAGCTTAACAGATAAGGTTTTCTTTCTGGTTCTTCTGAGAAAACTGGTGTCACTTCCTGGATCCTTTGGTCCATTTAGACGTGTTCAGAATCAGAATCAGAAATATTTTAATAATCCCAGAGGGAAATTACTTTTGATACACGCTCCAGATACAGTTTTTGATATATATATATATATATATATATATATATATATATATATATATATATATATATATATATATATATATATATATACACTCACCGGCCACTTTATTAGGTACCCCATGCTAGTAACGGGTTGGACCCCCTTTTGCCTTCAGAACTGCCTCAATTCTTCGTGGCATAGATTCAACAAGGTGCTGGAAGCATTCCTCAGGGAGTTTGGTCCATATTGACATGATGGCATCACACAGTTGCCGCAGATTTGTCGGCTGCACATCCATGATGCGAATCTCCCGTTCCACCACATCCCAAAGATGCTCTATTGGATTGAGATCTGGTGACTGTGGAGGCCATTTGAGTACAGTGAACTCATTGTCATGTTCAAGAAACCAGTCTGAGATGATTCCAGCTTTATGACATGGCGCATTATCCTGCTGAAAGTAGCCATCAGAAGTTGGGTACATTGTGGTCATAAAGGGATGGACATGGTCAGCAACAATACTCAGGTAGGCTGTGGCGGTGCAACAATGCTCAATTGGTACCAAGGGGCCCAAAGAAAGCCAAGAAAATATTCCCCACACCGTTACACCACCACCACCAGCCTGAACCGTTGATACAAGGCAGGATGGATCCATGCTTTCATGTTGTAGACGCCAAATTCTGACCCTACCATCCGAATGTCGCAGCAGAAATCGAGACTCATCAGACCAGGCAACGTTTTTCCAATCTTCTATTGTCCAATTTCGATGAGCTTGTGCAAATTGTAGCCTCAGTTTCCTGTTCTTAGCTGAAAGGAGTGGCACCCGGTGTGGTCTTCTGCTGCTGTAGCCCATCTGCCTCAAAGTTCGACATACTGTGAGTTCAGAGATGCTCTTCTGCCCACCTTGGTTGTAACGGGTTGTTACATTCTCCATTCTCCTCTGACCTCTGGCATCAACAAGGCATTTCCGCCCACAGAACTGCCGCTCACTGGATGTTTTTTCTTTTTTGGACCATTCTCTGTAAACCCTAGAGATGGTTGTGCGTGAAAATCCCAGTAGATCAGCAGTTTCTGAAATACTCAGACCAGCCCTTCTGGCACCAACAATCATGCCACGTTCAAAGTCACTCAAATCACCTTTCTTCCCCATACTGATGCTCGGTTTAAACTGCAGGAGATTGTCTTGACCATGTCTACATGCCTAAATGCACTGAGTTGCCGCCATGTGATTGGCTGCTTAGAAATTAAGTGTTAACGAGCAGTTGGACAGGTGTACCTAATAAAGTGGCCGGTGAGTGTATATATATATATATATATATATATATATATATATATATATATATATATATATATATATATATATATATATATATATATATATATATATATACATACATACACAACAAACCACACAAGATAATAAAGATATAAATATATACACATATAACTGTTCTTGTTGGGTGGAAACATTAATTTGTTGACTAGCTGTTTGAAGTATTTGTTTTGCTCTTAACATCACAAAGGGCTGCAAACCCGAATATTTTGATCGGATACATACTTTGATCTTTGTAAAACAAAAGGAAAAAATCTGATCTCATAGTCTCTAAGTAAAAACAGAGCTATGGGAATACATTTTTTACATAATTTCTTGCTGGATTTTCAAGTTGTTTTTAGATTTTACCAGGGGTTATGTATTTCGAAGTATTTAAAATCTATATTTAGTTGAGTTAAAAACCCTCTATGGTCACAACAGGAATGGCTTAAAAAGAAGAAAGAGAAGCTACGAGGGAACATGCAGCTGAAGAAGGAAGAAGAGCTTCGAAAGGAAAGACTGGAAAAGGTGAGTCTTAACTTATTTCTTCCATCTCTAAATTAAACAAAAACACATGCTAGTAAAGTTTACATAACTACTGCTGCTCACCTGTCTTCCAAAAATAGGAAAGGCAGTCTAAAAAGGAAGATGCTATTGTCTCTTATGAAGCTTGGAAAGAAAAGAAGGCAGAAAGCCTCAAAGCCAAAGCCAAAGAAAGGCAAAGCATGATTAGAAAAGTGCAAAAAGAAAGTGAAGAGAAGGAGGAAAAGAGACAATCTGCTAAACAGGTAGACTCAAATTTATTCAAAAAGCTATAGTAGACATGATTGTGTATGAGGTCGATGCTGAGCTGTTGTCCGATTATAATGACTCAAGGTGTTTGAGAACTGGAAGCGTGAAAACATTCAGCAGCTGAGAGAGAAAAACAGAAAGCAGAGATTGATCGAAAGCAGAAAGAAGCTGCAGAAGCAGGAGGAAGAGGAGGAAAAGAAGAGAGACAGTAAATCTGCATTTTCTGACTGGTGAGTGTTAAATAATGAGTTGATTCAGATCGTTTTATTCAATAGCTAATGGACGTCTGTTTCAACTATCAGGTTTCAACTTTATAGACTAGATTAAGTCCATTCTCTCACCTGCTGTGCCTTCAAATGAAAACGATGCTTGTCTTTTCTCTTGTTTTTCTGTTGTTATGAAAATCGTTAAACACATGGGGGCACTCTCAGCTGGATGTTCCTCTTTCAACCCCTTCTACACCTAACCCCTCCTGCAATGAGATGATAAATCTCACCTCAATCTGTTTTACCTCTCCTCTTCAACTTCAAAAGGTGTGACAAAAAGAAAGACGTCCTTCACGAAAAGCTTAAGGAGCGCAAGGAAACTAAAACAAAAGCAGAGGAAGAGCAATACCTGAAGGAAGAACGAGAAAAGATGGCATTAGAGACGTACGAAAACTGGCTGGTAAGTGCAATGCTGAAGAAAACCAAAGCGGATGGAGTACAGAAATATTCATTGTTGTCGGGTTTCTCCTACAGATAAGAAAGGATCGAGAGCAGAGGAGAAGAAAAGATGAACAGCGGATAAAAGCAATACTTGGAGAGAGTCCTCCGCCATGGAGCCCTCCAAATAAAACCGTCCCATTTGGAAAGTGACACTCTACAGTAATATTACATTGTTTTTTTTTTACATTTTTTTCCCCCCAAAAAATCTTATGACTTGTTTTAAATAAAAAAATGTGTTGCCTACAAACTGATTTGATAAGGGTGTTTCTTCTGCATGAGATTGTTCTTTTATATTCTTGACATTTATTTATACTTTTTATGTCTTTGAGTCCTTATTATACCAGCACTTGCACATTAAGTTTGTCCGCATCATTTATAAACATTAAATCAGATGTAATCATCCAATAATTACTCAATACTTGAGTAACCTTTTTGTCAAATACTTTTTTTTAGTGCTGTCAATCGATTAAATTTTTTAATCGCGATTAATCGCATCAATGCCTGAGTTAACTCGCGATTAATCGCATTTTAATCGCACATTTTTTTCCTGATTGAAAATCATTTAAATACTCTCGATGACATACAAAAAAATACATACAGGCTAGGTTTGTGCCAATGTTCTTTTTTTTAAATGAAAACAGGTCACAGATACTGATTTATGCCATAGAAACATATGGCAAGAAGATGGGGAGGCATGTAGCAAAAAATAACAAATATGTAGCCAAAAAAAAGGCCCTGAAAACAGGCTGATGTAAAAGACAGTCTTTACAGTTAATACAGTCTTTTGAACAAAGACAAGCATTTTATCCTACTGCTATAAAATTTAGTAGAGTTAAAATTAGATGTTAATTAACCAAGGTAATAATGAACAATTTTCAATCAATACATCAAAATCAATAGACCGACATCACTAGATGAAGGTAGTCTATGCTCTCTAGAAAGTTACTTTTCAGCCTCTTAACAAAAATGAGAACACACACACACCCACTCACCCACACACACACACACGCGATACCGACGTGTTGCGTACACAGACGGCAAGAGTGCTGCTACGAGATTCCATTTCACCTCAGTAATCAGTTTTCTCAGCGTATTTCAGGTTGCTACTAGTTACCAGACACTCAACTTGTTTGTTGGTGGTGGGGCTTAAAGAAAAGGCACTAGCGTCACCCAGTGTATGAGCGTCTTTTTCCCTTGAGGAGCTCCGCTCTTGAAGCCTATGAGAAATGCATAGACTGGGGGAAAATAGCCCCGCCTTCCCGCAGGCTGCAGCGGGATGTACTTGGAAAATTGTACCATAAAACCACATAGCGTTAATCTCACGTTAAAAAAATTATCGCCGTTAAAATGGCCTCGCGTTAACGCGTTAATAACGCGATAATTTTGACAGCACTACTTTTTTTTTAGTTTAACTTGAGGATTTTTTTTGTATGAATAAGTGAAGCACTACTTAGACACACTTAGTGTGTCTAAGTAGTGCTACTTCTACCGTGGTACAATTTTATTACTCTACCAACCTCAAAGTCCTTCACTAAACAACTTGATTTATACATAAAAGGAAATTAAGTAAAGCTAACTGAAAGAAACTGTATGGATTTTTTGTTTAGGGGTGTCAGAGTAAAGGGGGTTGCTAATATACATGCTGCACCTTAAAGAGTTTAATGTGAAAAAAATATTTTGAACCTTTTTTTTCTTTTAACTGAAATTATGTAGTACTTTGTGTTTTTTTTAGCAGGTAATCAAATTCAATTCAGTTTGTTTTTATAGCGCCAATTTACAACACATGTAATCTCTAGGCACTTTACAGTTCACCAGATCATACAGTCAAATTGATTCAAAGTTTTCTATCTAAGGAAAACCAGTTGATTTAATTGACTCATTGACTGGAAGGCAATCCTCACACTAACCATGCTTGTAGCAACAGTGGAGAGGAAAAACTCCCTTTTAATAGGAAGAAAGCTCCAGCAGAACCAGGCTCAGTGTGAGCGGCCATCTGCTGAGGCAGACTGGGGTTCAAGGAGACAGAAGCAGAGATACAAGAAGCAGCTGTAAAAGGCGGTTCTGTCCAGGAAACACACAGCCAGGCAGACGACCTCTGAGCCAGCTCCCATGTCAGAGAATGAAGAGAGCACATCCAGCCAGTCAGAGTCAGAAAAACAGGACTAGACTGAAAAAAAAGGCAGATCGCCAACATCTATAAACAAAGATGTTGATGACAGCAGCACAGCCAAACAGGAACAGACAAGGCGAAGCTACTATGAGAAAAAGCAGAGAGAGCATAACATTAGAGATTGAACTATTAGATTCTGCAGATTGGGAGAATAGAGATAGAAAGAAGCAGAATGATGAAATAGAGGTCCCTTTGTCCTCCATCAGTCTAAGCCTATAGCAGCATAACTATAGGCTCTAACTATAAGCTTTATAATAAACAATATTAAATAATGTTAGTGACAAAACAGCTTCACAGGTCTGCCTAAAAAATGGATCAGACAGCTACAGCTAATCCAGAACGCTGCTGCCCGTGTCCTCACAAAGACTAAGAAAGTAGAGCACATCACCCCAGTTCTAAAGTCCTTCCACTGGCTCCCTGTATCTCAGAGAATAGACTTTAAAATACTTCTGTTAGTCTATAAATCTCTGAATGGCTTAGCACCTAAATATGTCACAGGCTTGCTATCAGTGTATCAACCCTCCAGACCACTCAGGTCTTCTGGCTCCAGCCTGCTCTGCATACCTAGAACCAGAACTAAATATGGAGATGCAGCATTTAGTTCCTATGCTCCACTTATCTGGAACAAACTTCCAGAAAACTGTAAAAGTGCGGAAGGAATGAGTTTCTTTAAATCAAGACTAAAAACACATTTGTTTGGGATTGCCTTCCACTGTTCGAGTTAAACAGTTCAACTGAAACATCATTAGTTCAACTTTTTTATTTTCTTTAGTCCAACTGTTTTTAATGTTCTTTTTTGTTTCTGCATTTTTTATTTTATTTTTTCCTACTTGCTTTGATTCTGTTTTATTTTACTATATTTTCGTCATGTAAAGCACTTTGCATTGTCCTTGTACTGAATTGTGCTATACAAATAAATTTGCCCTGCCTTGCCTAAAGATGCATGCTTTTACTTTGAAAATCCATCAGCGAGGACTTCCTAGAGCAAGAAGAACCTCCCCTCTTCAGTTTAGTTAAAGTCCAGGCTGCCTGTGGCTCGGAAACTTATCAGAGCTCCTCCACACTGCTTTGGTCCAGGCTAGCGGACCTTCCTCTATCCGAACACAACCGGACAGAACCGAAACTCGCGTCTGTTTGGACCTAAAGACTCTCCACCAGAGGAGCCGAACCACCACCTACTGAAGTTCACAGCTTATCGAACAGAGGTGAGGATGCATTAGCTGGGTTCTGCTAGCAAACCCGAACCGCCCATTCATTACCGCCGATGGGGGGTTTAAATATCTGCCTAAATTTAAGAGGACAGTGAATTAGTTTGTTCCTGTAACGGTCTCAGAGCCTCACAGAAAGCAGACTGGAAGCTCAGAGGTTTGCCTCCCCCTTTACTCCCCCTTTAGTAGACGTGGCTTTTCTGCGATGAAAAGGCTTCTTTATTCGCTCTACAGGCTGTGATGGTCCAGATGGTAGATTACTGCCAGGATTATAATCCACCCAGATTAAAGCTAGACTGTTTGTAACTCTGGTAATTTAGTTCATCTTTAGTTATTACTCCTTCTGGTTCACTACAAATGAAGCCGAGGTAACTTATTTAAATGGGGAAATAGTTTTTTTGTTTCAAAAGATTTATTTATTTAATTTAAATCATTAAATATAAGAAGGAAAATTAGATTGTATTCACATCTTCACTGTTTGCTTGCATTATTATTACTAGGAGAGATCTGGATTTTCCTGGCTGGAACTGATTTTTCCTTTTTTTTAAGATCTGAACTCCCAATACCATTTATTTCTACTAGCAGATAAAAAAGAGAAAAATAAACGTCTAAGATTTAAATAAAATCAGGGTTCTATTATATTTTTCGAATGTATACCTCAGATGTCCCTTTATCCTCATACATCTTTTCTATTAAACTCAACAGTTCCTTTATTTTGCCTGTTTTTTCTGCATTTATTGATTAGAATAATGGGGTTTCTTATTTATGATGCATTGAACTATCAGGGCAAATTAGGCCTGGCTATCACCAGGAAAGCATCATGGCTGACCCAGTTGCCTGCTAAATCTATATCTTAACAACGTGAAACCTGTTTTGCAATTTTTGTAGTAAGTAAAATGAGAATTAATCCACATCTGCATTGAAATGCATGCAGCACTATTGAATGAACACGCTCCAACTAGGCTGAATTAGAGGAAGAAGAAACACTGACCTAGATATAAAAGATACAACTTATTTAGCAGCTTCTTGAATAAATCTGTCAGTTTTGAATAAAAAAAAAGGAAATGCAGATAATACTAATTTCTTATGAAAGCGTATATTTCTATTCTTTCTGTTTTTGTTTTACTTTTTGTTGTTGAAGGGAATATTAGTCTAATCTAATTGGTACAACTTAGTTATTACAGCCGTATTCTGGAAGTGCTTAATCACAGCTGAAGGTCTGACCCAGCTGGCATTTAAGCCGCTCCATACGTGACTTTAGATGCAGCATCCATGTTCTTTTGCCTGTTTCCTCTCACAGATGTTTGAGATCAAAAGGATCTGTTGCATCGGCGCTGGGTACGTAGGAGGACCAACGTGCAGTGTGATCGCTCACATGTGCCCGGAGATCACTGTGACCGTCGTGGACGTCAACGAGTCCCGCATCAAAGCCTGGAACTCCGACACTCTGCCCATTTATGAGGTAGAATATAAGCCCTTTTGTCCGAAGCAATGAGGTTATAGGTAAAGGTTGAAAAGCGTGGAGATTTATGGTCGATCCTGAACAAGGAACAGTGGGTCACAGTTTATTAGCAGGAGAGATATTGCTGCGCTTGTTGTTTTAGTTTTATATCTCCTCTTATGCATGCCTTTTCTATTGGGTGTGGCTGACACTAGTTTGACGTGAAAGTTCAGCTTTACTTTCTTCTAAGCCACTCCTCATCTCAAGAGGTCTGACTGTTCAGTCGGTGGATTATTTTACATGTTACCAAGGAATCGCCATCTCATGGGTCAAGTTTGAGGTTAATCAGTTCCAGACTGTTTAGCAACTTCCCTACGTCAACCCTGACCGCAAACTATTGCGTCATCATGGGTGGGGGTGGAGATTGTGAACCTCTCATGTGTTTGAAACAGTTTTTCCCCCTGCTTACACACTCTGACTGCTGATCCCAACTTTATTTGATTTCAGCCAGGACTGAAAGAGGTGGTTGAATCATGCAGAGGGAGGAATCTGTTCTTTTCCACAGACATTCCCTCAGCCATCAAGGACGCCGACCTCGTCTTCATCTCTGTGAGTCACACCAAATGACCCCCGTCTCGTCCTGCGTCGGATTTATGTCTGTTCAAGGGGCTCTGATCATAACACCACCTCCTTTTTAGGTGAATACCCCGACGAAGACCTATGGAATGGGTAAAGGTCGCGCAGCTGACCTGAAGTTCATTGAGTCGTGCGCTCGGCAGATTGTGGAGGTTTCCGACGGATACAAGATCGTCACAGAGAAGAGCACCGTTCCCGTGCGGGCTGCAGAGAGCATCAGACGGATCTTTGACGCCAACACTAAACCCAGCCTTAACCTTCAGGTGTGTACTTTTACCTCCCACCACCGGATTCCTCTTTGTTTCCTGCTTCTGAAAATGAGCCTGCTGTCATAGGTGCTGTCCAACCCAGAGTTCCTCGCAGAGGGAACAGCAGTACGGGATCTAAAAGAGCCGGATCGTGTCCTGATCGGTGGAGATGAGACGCCGGAGGGTCAGAAGGCGATCAGAGCACTTTGTGCTGTTTATGAACACTGGGTCCCCAAGTCCAGAATCATCACTACCAACACCTGGTCGTCTGAGCTCTCTAAACTGGTGAGGGATGATAAATGAGCCACATAAACACTGGCACAATATCCTCAACTAAAGAAATGTTGATATATTGCATTTCAGTGGTAATTTAACACTATATGTTAAAATGGGGGTCGGCAACCCGCGTCTCCGGAGCCACGTGTGGCTCTTTAGCGTCCCCCATGTGGCTCCCTGGAACTTTTTCAAAAAATTATGAAAATTTATTTTTTTTTTTTTTTGGTTTGTTTTAATATGGTGAGCAGGAAGTCAAACAAAAATGTATTATGTTTTCCAATGCTGTAAACATTTTAATAATCAATAAATTTAAACAATATTTGCATCATAGCCATAGAGATCAGTTCGCTAAGATAGATGGATGGATAGTGCATCTACAAACTCTACTACTGCTGCTAGTTTTGTTGCAAGGATGGAAAACCGTCCACAGTTTAAACCGGTAGCGCTATGATGCAGTTATGGGAACTCTCTTTTCCCCACATCCTAAAAATCTAAACCACACCAAGGAGCGCTGGTGACGGAGGATGTGGGATTTCAGGGTTAGACAGCTCTGCTTTGATGTATCTTAGTTCCTGCTTGGTTCCTCATGACTCAATCAGCTCCTCCCAACAGAAACACGTTGAAAGATTCCTTTATTGTGTTTCTATAATTTCACCAATGCAACACAACTTACACCACGTGGTGAAGTGGTGCGCGCTGGGAGCGTTCACTGCTCCTCCCTCACCTCATGCTACTATGTGACATTTGCTCCAGGATAAACAATTAATCATGAATGCTTATTATATATTTAAGCCCACATAGTCCTTTTCTATAGTAGGATAATACAGTTAGAGCCCGTGTTGCCATACGAGGCTGATAGAAGACTTTTACATTTTTGCGGCTCCAGTCAGATTTATCTTTTGTTTTTTTTGGTCCAATATGACTCTTTGAGCAGTTTTGGTCGGTGATCCCTGTGTTAAAACAAAGGCCGTCTAGTTCAAATCAGTCCAGTTGATTCAAACCAGTTCCAGTCATTAAGTTCTAGTCAGATTCTAGTTCAAGCAGCTCTATGCAGTCCTCTTCATACAGAACTATTTTGTTCTTGTAAAGGAGTTATAATTCACAGCATGTTAATGTTACCTTTATGTTATCAGAGAAGCTCTAATTATTTGTTAAAGTTAACTATCTTTAACCCCCCTCAGAAAAAAACAAACCAATTAGGCAAAAGGTGACACTCAATATTTATTAATAAAGTCAATTACACCAATTTTTGACTACATCGATTTTTTTTAATGGATATTTCGTATTTAATTACGAATTTTATAGTTTAATAGTCTGTTTAATATTTGAATCATGGTATGTATTTGTTTATTTAGTCTTAATTTAACCAGATTAATCCCATGAGATTTAAAATCGCTTTTGCAAGAGAGACCTTGCCAAGAGGGCAGCCGTATATAACAATGTATTAAATAAATGAATAAATGTAACATCTATTTCTTGGCTAAATAAGATTTATTTATTTATTAATGTATTATGGACCTTCATATACCTGAGAGATTAAATAACAACTACTGTAAAAACCCGTCTTTTGACCTCCAATTCAGAAAACCTTGATTCATACTGCTAAGATTATTTACTTATTAAATTATTGTTTACTGCTTAAGAGCTTTAGCTGCTACTTGCTTCGGATATCAACCAATTTCTTCTACAGTATCATAGTAAATTAAAGTGTTTCGATCCAAAATTGAAACGGTATCATAGGAGAAAAATAACTTATTTTATATTGTGAAACCCTGAAAAAACAACACAAAACTAGATCATTATCTTTTATAACTGCGATATTAACATCAGTTGCATTAAATCTTCATTTTCCTAATCCTCTCTGTATCTAAGATCTATATTAGTGAGAGTCCAGTCAATGGACTGAACATAAATTGGCATGTGACACCAGTTGGGATTTAATATAAATGTAATTATCAGTTGTCTATAGATGTTTGGGATAGAAATGAAAAGTGACCCTAATGTTTCACAGGCGGCGAACGCTTTCCTGGCGCAGCGAATCAGCAGCATCAACAGCATCAGTGCTCTGTGTGAAGCCACGGGAGCCGACGTGGAGGAGGTGGCCAAGGCCATCGGCATGGACCAGAGGATTGGCAGCAAGTTCCTTAAAGCCAGCGTCGGTAAGAATCAGGACAAAAAAAAAAAAAAACTGGGAAAGGTGCCCTGTGGTGCAGAGCCTCCCTGATCGCTCTCAGTGGAATGTCCTTCAAACTTTATGTGGCTCGTTGTGTGAAGCTCTCCTTTACTTGTTTCTATTTCCAAGTTAAAAGAAAAAGCAATTTGCAGATAAACGGAGGATAAAAAGGAGGAACTTTAGCATTACTTCCTCACTGCAGCAAGTTAGGAGTGAAACGTGGCTGAGGATTAACCTGAACAATACACAGTGCAGCTTTATACGTTGGTGTTAGATTTTCTCACTGCTGCCCTTTTCAGGCTTTGGTGGGAGCTGTTTCCAGAAAGACGTGCTCAATCTGGTGTATCTGTGCGAAGCTCTAAACCTGCCGGAGGTGGCGTCCTATTGGCAGCAGGTGGGGACTATGACACAAAGATTTAGTTTTTTTTTTTTTTTATTCTAAAACATGATTCCTCTCCTCTCAGGTAATTGACATGAATGAATACCAACGACGGCGATTTGCTTGTCGGATCATTGACTGCCTCTTCAACACCGTTACTGGAAAAAAGATTGCTCTGCTTGGGTTCTCTTTCAAAAAAGACACGGGTGACACCAGGTCAGTCCCCTTCATGTCCTTTGGTTTGGTGGCCAATAGGAGGATAGTAGAGAAAGCTGAGAGCATTATAATCACTAGAAACATGCAGAGTTACGGCTTGTAACTCCAAAGTGAAAACACTGGCACGGCTTCCTTTAGACGGGCTCTTTATTAAACGCCGTGAAAACTACAGAAATAGAAGAAAAAGCTTTAGATATCAATACATTCACAGACAATCAGGTGACACGTGCTTTAACAGAAGTTACCTCGTGACCGCCTGTCACTTCGGAGGTCTTTAACAGTTGAATTCTTCCTCGTCCACTCTAAATTAAAATATAAAGTAATTAAAACACCATAACCAATAAAATTGGAAAATATTACAAACATAACTATAAATACCTTGGCAGCTACATTAAACACAAGGCTGCTATACATAGCTCTGTTCCAAGCTTCTACTCCTATGTTTATTCAAGTCGCGTCACTTTTCACATATACGCTAATCTCATGATAACTTTCAACAATAAATATTGCCATAATTTGACACATTCCCAAAACGTGAACCAAACAATGTAAAATACATTATCTTAACTATAAGAAATAAACATACATTTTTTCAGGAAATAAATTATTTCACTGACACTTCCACGGCTCGTCCCCTTTCTCCACTTGGAAGCTTGCCTAAGCTCACTGTAGTGAACTTCACTCCTAACCTCTCTTGATGCCTGCTTTTTATAACTCCAGGGAGTCGTCCAGCATCTACATATCAAAGTATCTGATGGACGAGGGAGCCAAGCTGTTCATCTATGACCCCAAAGTTCTTAAAGAGCAAATCATTCATGATCTGTCGCAGCCCAGCATCTCAGAGGACAACCCAGAAAGAGGTAAGAGAGAGAAAGTTCATGGCTTTGTTTGACCATGCCTGCAGCACCGGCTGGTTTAATGTTAAAGATTAATAGACACTCCACATGAATAACCTTGTGCTTTAAGATAAATCTTTATAGCAACTTCCAGATTACTTCTCTTTAGACTTTGAATGTTTTATGAAGCATCTTATCTGATTAAGTGTTAAACCTTCCCTCATATGATAAACCCCGATATTATTTAGGAGCATTTACACCCAATAAAACAGAAATTATGTTTAATTGCAACTTATAATTAAAGCATTTCTCTCCGGATTCTTAGTTTGGTGGTAGCAATAATGTCGCTCTGTTCTGCAAAGGAAAACTAATGAATCACTTTTTGCTGTTTTCTAGTGTCTGAGCTGGTGACCATAACCTCAGACCCCTATGAGGCCTGCCAGAGCGCACATGCATTGGTCATCTGCACAGAGTGGGACATGTTTAGGGTAACTATCACATTTGCCCATCATACACATTGATTTAGTCTTAGCAAGCATGTGAGCTTAAATTTTTACGATGTTGCTCCGTTGCTGCTATAGGAACTTGACTATGAGAAGATTTACAAGAAAATGCTGAAGCCAGCCTTCATTTTTGATGGTCGCAGAGTTCTAGACCACCTCCACGCAGAGCTGCAGAACATCGGCTTCCAGGTGAGCAGAGCAACTTCTGTTCATTTAGAGCTGCATTTGAGGAATTTCACCATTTTAAAAGCAGAGCATATTTTTACCAATCGTCTGGCTGAGTTCTGACTCATTTCACTCTGACTGATCACTTCTTGTATTAATATGATGCCATTTTAAAGCATCCAGCTTTATTGTAGCCCAAATATTACTGAATTAAAGGCTCAACTTATATGTACCAAAGGTTTTTAAGGTCGCTGTAATTGAAGTCTCTTGACCATGATGCCTTAGTCAGTTATAGGCTTATATCCAATCTTCCTTTCTTATCTAAAATTCTTGAGAAAGTAGTTGCCAAACAAGTGTGCAACAACTTACACCATAATAAACTTTTTCAGTCTGACTTTAGAGCTCATCATAGCACTGAAACAGCTCTGGTGAAAGTCACTAATGATATTCTCATGGCCTCATAGAAGGGTCTTGTATCTGTGCTCGTCCTGTTGGACCTCAGTGCTGCATTTGATACATCTGATCTTAATATTCTTTTAAAAAGACTTGGAATATTTTGTAGGAATTAAAGGAACAACATTTGACTGGTTTAAATCCTATCTGACTGATTTCAGTTTGTTCACGTTAATGACGAATCTTCCTCATGCTCAAAGGCAGTGTTGGGAAAGTTCTCTTTCTATGTGAACTAGTTCAAAGTTCAGTTCACACATTTTAAAATGAACTAGTTCAGTTCATAGTTCATAATTCAAAATTTTGAACTAAGTTCACAGTTCCAAAAAATGAACTAGTTCATAGTTCTTTTTTTTTTTTCATATATTGTTCAATTACACCATAGCCTACTGTAGAACCACAGACAGCAATTATTTTATCAGTTGTAACACTGAAACTGTGCGTCAGATTTCATCTTCATATCCAGTTTTGAATCCTTATCCAACCAGGGTTTACATTAGCATTGAGGGGACAGCATTTCCCCATTGTTGCTTTAATGCTTTGTTGCTGTCCATTCACTTCACACTAGTAGCAGCTGCAGCTTTCACCCCTACAGTATATTCTCAAAAACATCAGGAAAAATGTGCTGCTTGAATGGTCTTTTTTATGAGGAATTATTAAAAGAAAAACAGGAAAGTAGTCTTTAAGGTGCAAATGTTTTTTTAATTTTAATAATTTTTTCAATTTGAAATTCCATTTCAGTACATACTAAAAAGGAATCCTGGAAATTTATACCAGGCAGGTTTACATGAATAGTAAAACCCTCAAGAACATTTTACTAACACAAACTGAGGGACCAGGCTGAGGTAGGAATTTAAGGTTACTGAAGTGCGGATTTTTTTACTGAAAGCCGGCGGGCAAAGTTTGCAGAGAAATGTAAGATTGTTGCCATCATCCTCACCGACCACCTGGTCATAAAACTGTTTTAAGTGATCATACTGCTGCTTTGTCGCCTCCACGGTAGCCTCCATGCTGCTGCGGCTTCCACGCTGCGTTTTGTTTTGATGACGCACGCGGCTGTAGGCTACGACGCTGGTAGCTGGTGTTGCCAGATTGGGTGTTTTTCCCGCTACATAATAAGGCCTGTTTACGGTGTGATTTAGCCGGGGTTTCGCCTGGAGGACTCTATAGAAATCTGGCAACCTATTGAACGGAGTTGAACTGAGAGAGCGAGCCGTTCACAGACACCAGAATGAACGAGTTCACAACGTTCATCAGGCAGTAATACAGTACGTTCAGTTCACGTTCGCCCAAAATATGAACGAGTTCATGAACTTTCGTTCAATGAACGCGTTCAGGCACAACACTGCTCAAAGGTTACCTGTGGAGTACCACAGGGATCAGTGCTAGGACCAATTCTCTTTACTATATATATATGCTCCCAATCGGTAGAATTTTTGACAGCATGAGATTAATTTCCACTGTTATGCTGATGATACCCAGCTATATCTGTCCATAAATCTGGATAAGGCTAACCCGTTACATAAAAAACCTGGATGACTCTTAACTTTCTGCTCCTGAATTCAGACAAAACAGAAGTCATAGTGTTTGGAGTCTTTGAAAAAGAAGCAGATTAGTCAGTCACGTCATTTGGATGGGATTAATCTGATCTCTGATAATAAAGTAAAAAAATCTTGGTGTCATTTTTGATCAGCACCTGTCATTTAAATCCCATATCAAAGAGGTTTCTTTCATCTGCGGAAAATCTCTAGTTTGAGTGGGTTGAAATAGGCACTTCCTGTTGCCATGGTGACTTGTCGAATCAGGGCTGCACTGATGCTGGCTTTTCATACTTGTTACGCATGTGCTCAACTCGAGTGGATCTACTTAGTTGATTGAACTAATTCAAAGAAGCCGTTTTGAAACCGAAAACGCAAGAGTTGAAACGGGTAGATCAGTTTAGAGTTGCAGATTTGAATCTGAGTTGGATAAACCTGCTTCTTGAAACAGACCCCTGGTCTTTACTAAGGATTTGGTCCCATAGGAGTTAATGATAATCTCTTCTCAGCAGTTTGCTGCATTTTCATTAGTTTTTTTTAACTTGCAGTTGTTTTTTTTGCTACTCAAAGCATTTAATGCTGTTTGCATATTTTCTATTACTGCTGCATTTTTTTTCTGCAGCCTTTTCCACCGCGTCCGTTTTTGTTTTTCATTCATATTTACAGTATTTTGCAAATTTGCAGGGGGTTTGGACCTCTTGGCCACCGTCATTATAAGCTTTTTGCCAGTGAGGGGTGCAGTAATGCTGCAACTTAAGAAAAAAAGGCATTGTCCCTTTTGTACATGAAGCAGAATACAGACTGTGCACCACTCGGTTCAGATTTCTATTTGTGTGGCTAATTTCATCTTATTGCAGATCGAGACCATTGGAAAGAAAGTGACCTCTGCTAGAATCCCCTACACCCCAGCAATCGTTGGACCACGCACCGCTGCCACCGAGCCTCCCACCAAGAAGGCAAAAGCCTGAAAGATGAAACCCCCCCCCCGCCTGCTGAAATGGGCAACGCCATCCTCCTGCTTGACTTTTCATTTCCACAGCAGAGGGGAAGGGGTCTGAACAGCATCCTGTCCGCTGTCTGCCCAATATTGGCTCGCTGCTTCTCATCAGTCTCAAAGTTGCTGCAAATCAAATATCTTTTATATTTCTGTAACGCTATCATTCCAAACACCACAGCCAGAATTACATCTAGCACATGCATCAGATGACCTGTTTTTATAGAAACACTATATACGCAGGTTTATTTTCTTATATAATGAAGCTGTTCTTAAATGCAAAGTTTTATCTTTTCCTATTACTATTTTTATAAATCATGTTGCTGTATGCTAAGTGTTCATTTAAGGGGCCAATGCAATAAAATGAGAGACCTGTAATTCTTTAGATACCGTACTTTTTATACATGTATCACCTCCAATAAATCTGTCTTTATAAGTTTAAATCTCATTTATAAGCTTCATCTCATGCAAATGTATCCAGACACATTTCCCCCTATATGTTGGAAACATGGCTTTAATGGTACAAACATTTGGAAGAGGAGTACAACTTAAGTTTAATTGCACACAAGCTCATTTCAGTTTTTTAGAGACTCCTGCCAAACGTGATCTCAGTAACATGCGGCTGAAGAGCTTTAACTCCATGTCCGGTTGGAGGCAGGAAGTGACTTCTAATAAACAGTAAAATATCCAGCTTCTGCTCCTGGCTGGTGGGATTTTCAGCTGGCTGATGTTTCTTTGAACAGAGGTTTCTCTTCTGCTCCTTTATGATCGTTTCCCTCAACAAACTGGCAGCCGTTCAGGGCGGCTGCACGTAAAGATAAAAAACAAAACTAGCTTCCTGAGGAAACAAACAATTGGTTCTAATATTGTTTGTCAATATTAAAACTAAACACACTCCTTCTCTCTTGGGACTGAGCTGCTATTCCTGCCAAAAATCACAGACATGGTTTAACGACTAGAAGACAGAATGATCAGATGCTTTAAGAAGCCTCTCATTCCGCTGCAGGGATTTCTGCTTTTCTCTTCTTCAATAGATTCTTCAGGAAGAATTCACCTGTAGGATGGAAAAGAAATGGCCTTTACACTCATTACCAAGTACGGCACAGACAGGCAAATATTTGCCTATAAGTTTTAAGGAGAAACGAGATGGGTTACCTTAATATTTAAGAGAATATTGGAATTTATAACACTCCTTAATCCAGACGACCAGAGAGACTAAACCTCTCCCTGATTATGTTTCTATATTTATTTCCACCCCTGCTAAAGATGTGTAAACAGCCTTAAAATCTTTATTTAAAAGTACCATAAACCACATCATTAAATAAAAAAAACAACTTTATTTTAAAGAGATTAAGAAGAAGAAAACATTCCAGGTTATTTAATGCAAGCTTGTGTCCTTTTTAGGGTCATCTTAACGAGTCGTTATGACTTCCTAATCAGACTTGGAAAAGTTTTAACACCAGATACTCTTCAACTGCAGCTGGGATTCAAGTATTTTAAGGTGAATCTGTGTTTCAATGAACTATTAATAATGAATTACTTCCTAGACTGACTAGCAGCCTGTTTCAGTCACTTTGCAATAATGCAGAGAAATAAAAAAAAGTTGAATGTCCTAAACGTAAGACTGTTTGTTGAATTGTTGTAGTTCTTAAACAGTCAGCAAGAAAAACAAATTAATTCCTGAACTTTAAAAATAAATAAATGAACAGATAGAGAGCAGGAGGCGTCTTTGACAATCCAGAGGTTAGTAATAACAAGCATATACTTTGGTCCTGATGAATGAAGTATCCTGTCCATTAGGGGTGCCATCAATGATTACTTTACCCATCAATTTATCTGTTGATCATTTTTTTGATTAATATTTGAATAACAAAACGAACATTTTAGAGTCTCTCTTCTCCCCATTTAAGATCAATTACTAAATCAGATGACGATTATTTCAATCATCAATCATGATTAATCCAATTAACTGTTTCAGATCTACTATAAACTATCATGTGCTTTGACCAGATGATGCCAATATTGTGTTGTTTCCCCCAGAGTCCTGCTTCCTAAAGCTAAGAGCTGCCTCAACTATAGCAGCAACATATAAGTTACTGCAGTTATTATCCTGTGCAGCTAAGGATGATATATATATATATATATAGTCAAATACCTTAAATATTTTAACATCATTACAGTAGCCTGAACCATTGTTAATATTATTTCATATATAGACATTATTATCGTTTGATGTGTCGGCTGCTTTAAGTTCTGCAGAAAGGTCTTTAATAGACCATTGCTGTGCTGAGGGGGATCAGAGAAAAGACCAAATGTTTCCTGACAATTACCTGCATGAGGGTTACTGCTTTACTGGGAATGACATCCTCTACCTGAATAGACTGCTGGATCCCACAGAGAACAGAGCCATGCCTTTATCGTTACAGAGGATCTATGTTGGGGCTCAGGATTTCTGCTAGTGGTATTGTTCCTTATATGCCTTAGCAAAGCCCCTCTTTGCTGCACCATCTGATGTGTCTTTGGTTCATTATCTTCTCCATCCACAGAAGAATTAAATCAATAAGGGATTCTACATTATTGCATATTACATGAATTAGGCTACTCATCACAGAGGAAGCACTGATGTGTAGCCTTACTGTAGCCCCAAAAGGAGGGGGGGGATATAAATGCATGCCACACTTTTCAGTTGTATTTATTTGAAAACAACATTTCCTTGTCCTTTTACTTTAAAAGGTAAGCACTACCGTGTGCTTCTCTGTCGGAATCTTAATACAGTACATTATGCACACTGAAAATAAGGTTTAAGGATTATTATATAAAATTACTGTATCGTTAGTTGTGAACTTTTGCTGCTAATCGGCTTCATGACTAAGCATGACTAAGCCTAATCTCCTCAGGGTTACTCCAGGTCATCTGAGGAAACTTTTCACCTGAATGTTGTTGACAGAGTAGTTCTCTGCTATTGCAGACAATTTTACATTTAAAGCTACTTTAAAGGACATTCTGACAAAAAAGGACCTGCTAAAATCAATGATCTTTATTCTTCCCTGAGGGAAACGATCTTCTAGCAACAGTTTGTTAAAAATGTAAATATTATTTAAGGTTTCAAAGGAACAAAAGAGTTTTTCAGTCTGTCAGTCCAACAGCGGATATCTGCACCCCGATCGAATTAAATTAGAGCTCAACGGTCTGACAGTGATCCAGATCCATCAGGATCGTTCTGCCTGAACCCACCTTGAACATTGGGGTCAATCATTGAAGGCTGCACCAGGAATTTAAACTTTAAAAGCCTGAACCATAAATTTAAACTCAATAAAGCATTTCTATAAAAATAGAATGATCCTTCTAACAGCGAAAACCCCAAATCGTTAAAAGAGCACATAAGGATAAAACCGTGCAGAGAAATCTCCTCCTTTTAACCTCATTCTCAAATCTTAACAATTCTGCACCTTTATTTTATTCGACTTTATAAAAAGCTCACCTGCTTTGTAGGAGGACCGAACCAGAGGCCCGCTGGCTGTGTACGCAAATCCCATATCGTTCCCAACCTTCTCCCAGTGAGCAAACCTTTCCGGTGGGATGTATTCCTCCACCTAAACCCAACCAAACATCAGAATTATGCCTCCATTTGAAAATAATGACTTTGGCTTTCCTGTTTCTGCAGTAAGCGGAGGACTTACCTTAAGGTGGCGCTTTGTGGGCTGCATATACTGACCGAGGGTTAGACAGTCCACCCCTGCCTCTCTCAGCTCTGAAACGTCACCACAGCAGCAGTAAAACATCTGTTCCTGCCAGCCTGTGAGTGTTTAACTGCAGCTGCTACCAACCAGTCATGGTGTTGATTATCTCCTGGTCACTTTCTCCAAGTCCAAGCATGATGGAGGTCTTTGTGAGCACGCTGGGTTTAACCTTTTTGGCGTGTTTCAGCACACTTAGGGACTGGTCGAAATTGGCTCTGGGGTCCCGAACATGCCTGGAACAGATTAAAGGAACTTTCACATTTTTTCGGCATCTTGCACCACCTGGTGGTCAGATTGAATCAAGAGCAAGACATCCCTGCAGAGTGCTTGAATTTACAGAAAGCAGCAGGGGGCTCATAGCTAAATGGTTGTTAGCCTCTAACAGAAAATAAAGGATATAAACTGGTAAATTACAGAAGTGTGAAATGTGGCGTTTGCACACCTTTGCAGCTCTCGAACCGTCTCCACATTGTGGGCGTATACGTCTAAACCCGACAGGGCGATCTTCTCTACAGCTGCCAGGTCACCGCGGAAATCAGGGGTCAAACATTCAACCAGGATGTCAGGATTTCTGGACACAGCAGAAAAAAAACATGAAAATATATGCATGGAAATCCATTTTTTCAAAATCCATCTGAGAGCTTTTACCTCTCCTTCAGGTTAGAAACAGTTTTGGCAAAGTGTTCTGCACCACCATCAGCAATATCTGCAAAGAAGCAGTGATATTAGAAGAGACGGATCATCCACATGCACCAACTGAAATACTAATGATGAGTTTGCAGAGATTTAAATCAGATAGTTGCTGGGTATCAATCCTGACCTGGACATATTCTTCATGTTCTGTCCTTTCTTTTCCCAACATTGCTCAGCTTTGGTTCTACTTAAACTTGCAGCAGATTGAGAATGCATGTAGTTTTTATTTTACTAGTAAAGCGAGGACAGCTTTCTGCTCATTACTTTTCTGGGATGGGGTTTGGGGATTTAAGTTTAGGCTATAAAAAGGGTTTGGAATAACAAAAAAAAAGTCCTCAGTAAGTAAGTATTAAAAGGATGGTTTTAATAATTTCCTTTAAAATGTAATCATTCCCAAGGCGTGTAGTTGCATCAAAAAAAGAAGTGAGTTTGTGCTACATGGTCCAGCTACTGAAGATAAATGGGCCAGAAATTCCTGTCTAGGATTTCCATATATATTCTAACGTAGAGAAAAGTTGAGAATAATTAAAGTTTGGGAACTTTTTTCTTTCACACCATTGGAGGTGTTGGTGGGTTTTTTCAGATGGTTACATTTCTGCCCAGGGTGGTGATGCGTCTGCACCAGTTTTAAAAATGTCATTGATTTTTATTTTGTTTTGAACTCTCCATTTTAAATTGCATTTTAGTTTTACTTTTTTTTAGTATTTCTTAGCTAGTTCAGTTAATATCTTTTTTTAAAAGTTGTTTCCATTTAGTTTTATTAGTAGCAACTATAGTTTCAGTCTTCTATGTAACACAACTTACATAATGGAGGAATAAAAAAAAAAGAATAAAGAAATACAATCAAAGATAAGGACTGACTGCTGCAGCAACTTAGTGATCAGACTGCTGGCATAATGCAGTACAGCTATAAATATTAATGCATTATGATTAAGACACAAATGAAAACTAAGCATATTTTCTCCTGATAGTTTTATGGACCCTTATTACGGTTTCAGTTTGTTTTGTTAACAATCATAACCTTGGTCGATGCAAACAAACTAAGAGAAGAGACTTTTACCATCTCTGTCAACCGAAGTCAAAACCACATAGTCCAGCCCCCAGGCTGCGATAGCCTTGGCAGTGTTGTAAGGCTCGTCTGGGTCCAGAGGAGGGGGCCGGCGGGCTGTCTTCACCGAGCAAAACCTGCACCCGCGTGTACATGTGTCTCCCATTAGCTACCAGTAGAAGGGGAGAGAAAAAAATAATGTGTTACTGGGAAAAGCATGCATGCAGTAGCAAGTCAGCAATTATAATGGATTCTCAGCTAACCTGTGAAAGATTAACATGGTTTGATTATGTTTGTTTAGTTTTTTAGTAAGGCAGAAACTCTGGATTAGTGAATGCATGGAGAATATCAACCTGTCGGTCCGTCCTGTATATTTGGTGGAGGAGGGATGGTGGTATGGGGCAACTCTGCTTTAACAGAAGATCAGCTTTGGAGAAGGCCTTTCTGTTCTACTTCTACTACACTATACTGCTGAGCTTTGGACCAGAACTATAGCAACACAGTTTTATGCATTAGGTTTGAACCAATCTATGTGGTGAACTTAAAAAGAGAAAACCAATCAGACTTCCTCTTTCATCCCCCAAATAACGGATAAATACGAGGTCCACTTCTAATAAAGTGGACCTCGATCCAACCTCAGATTCTGTTGTGCATACATCCTGCATCTTTAGGCGTTAAATAGAAAAAAAAACTCTTTATACACTGTAAAATGGTGGTGGAGGCTCACCATGATGGTGGCTGTAGCTGTGGCGTACTCTCCTCCACCCCAACACTCTCCGATGTTTGGACACCTGGCCTCCTCGCACACCTGAAGAAATATACAGAGAGCCATCATTATTAAAGAAACAACAACACACGCAGGATTATTTAAACCTCTCTGAGCTGTGCAAAACAACATGCTGTCAGTAAAGGCAAGAGTCAAACGGGTATACATCCAATTTCCTATTTAGAGATGGCAGACATTTAGTATGAACAGAAGCCCTTCATGTTAATCAGATGCATCCCTGAAAATATATAAATCAACATGTTTAAATTTTGAATTTTGCTATGATAGCACTGATTTTAACACATCTAGACTATTCCCTAGTTTGGTCAAATATTACTTGTCGAAATATAAATAAACTGCAAATTAAAAAGAACAGAGCTCCTCGTGTCACACTTAGATGCATCTCTTGGAGAAGTGTCATATTTTTGCAGAAAGATCTCAAGTCTGTATCAAAATTACCTCTAATTTTGTTAAAGATTATTTTATTTTAGTATAGATCACATTTGATCAGTAGCAGACATGCAGCTGAAGGTAACTTCATCCTCAGAGGAGAATGTTGGCCTAGTGGTTAGAGCAGTGTGCTTATGTTCTGAGAGGGTTGCAAGTACCCAGTTAAATCCCCACAGCCTCCTCTCTGGGTCCCTGAGAAAGACCCTTAACCCCACACTGCTCCCTGAGCGCCACACAATGGCAGCCCACTGCTCCCCAAGGGGATGGGTTAAATGCAGAGGTAAATTTCTCCTATGCGAGATCAACAAAGTTTAATTATGTTTTTTTGTTTTGTTTCTTTTTCACCAAACTACATCAAGCCCACTACCTACGTTTTGTAAAACTGTAAATAATTAGATCTGAGATACAGATGGATGGATGGATGGATGGATGGATGGATGGATGGATGGATGGATGGATGGATGGATGGATGGATGGATGGATGGATGGATGGATGGATGGATGGATGGATGGATGGATGGATGGATGGATGGATGGATGGATCTTTTATGTTTTACACTCTGTACTGATTTATTTTTTTCTTGCTATTTATTATTTTATAGTAATCTTGGAGTTTGTAAATATATTACTTTCATTAATTTACATTTTGTGTAGGACCCAATGAAGAGCTATTAATAATTACACCAAAGAAGTTATGATTTAAGTTTCATTCTGATTCAAACCGTGTGCAGGTTGAGGTCTCTCAGTGAATTCTTCAGCTTGTTGAAGTTTTTCCCAATTGGGATCTCTGTCTTCAGCCATGGAGGAAGCCTCAGCCTAACAGAGCAGCAGAAAACGTCACAGACACAGACTTGATTAATGACCCAAACCAAGAATCCTTTCCCCAACATGTATCTGATAAGCATACATGTTAGTTAAATACACAAATAATAACCTAATCTATGTGTTGAAAGGTATTAAAAAACGTAATTTACCATATTCTCAGTGTCATACATATTCATAACCTACCATATTTTTTCACGTTACAACTGTCATAATCTTTCTTCTTTTTTTTTTTGATTTTGTGTAATTTAGACCAAAAAAAAAGAAACTGATGCAAGCTTTAAAAGTAATTATAAATAATCATGTAAAGATTAATTCTTGAAGAAACCCAGTTAAATATATCAAAGGCTAAAGGAAAACAGCTCTAAACCATGTCTTAAAAATAAGAAGTATGGTTGGTTGAATGTATATATATGATTAGCACAACATATACTTGTGTTAGAATGGCCTAGTCAAAGCCTGAGTTAAATCCGCTTGATAATCTGCAGTAATAATTAATTATCACAGATACTGTCTATCTAATCTGGATTAATTTGAGCTCTACATTAACATATGCAAAGCTGAACACTAGGGCTGCAACTTTTTGGAAAGATTATTTTGCGAATCGATTACTCTGTCAATTGTTTTTTTTTGATTAATCAATTAATAATCGGATAGCCAAAGGTTCCTTATAGAAGATTTTTTTTAATTATTAAACTAAAACTTTTCCACTGAAGGAGTTCTTGTTAGAGCACATTGACAGGCAAACAATTTTTTTTTAATCCTAAATGCATACATTTTTTTTTTTTACAGTCTTGGTATAATTACTGCACTAAGTTGGCCGCCTTATCAGCTAAAAGCGGGTTTTAGAGTCTCGATACTCCAGTAAACAATTAACCGATTACCAAATTAGTTGAAGATTATTTCAATAATCGACTAATCACTATTAATCCAATTAATTGTTTCAGCCCTACTGGAAAGGATTTAGTCCAAAAGAACATTTTCAGTGTGTCATTCAGATCAAGGTTGAATAAAAACTCAAAGTGAATTATTTAGATATTAAAATCCAAAAAGAGAGCAAAAACCAAGCTTTATAGTAGATCAGTCTGTCTGCAGTCTGTTTGTTGGGATCTGCCGCATAAGATCCCAGTGAACTACAAGCTATTTTTCCCATAATATAGGAAAACGTCTAGGGGATATGATATCGATTCAAAGAACTACTGTACATGATCTTTGATTTAAAAAAAAAAAAGTTAAAAAGGTTAAAAAACAAACCACTGGACCAAGTTTGAAGACGTTTCTCTTCCATCCAGGAAGCTTTTTCAATTCAAAAGCATTTAGATTGAAACATTTTGAATTTAAAAATATTCCTGGATGGTAAGCGAAAAGTTTTCAAACTGGGAAACAAATTCCAGTGGTGTGTTTTTTAACCTTTTTAACTTTTGTTTTTGAATGACTATGATCTGGATGACTGAGAATTTTCCCCAGCATGATCTTTGATGCTCTCTGATAACACAGAGAAAGTAAATAAACTAGCCCAGCTTTCTGCTTTTTATCATTTCAGGTGATGTACCTCTCCCCCTTCTGTCTCTTCAGGTTGCCTCTGTACTCAGCCCACTTGCTCTTCTCAGATAGTTCCCCTGAAATAAAGTCCTCCAGCCCGGGTCCCTCCTGGCTCTGAAGCTCCTTCTTTCTGTCTGGAGAGGACTTTGGTGCAGTGGTCAAGCAGCTTGTGTACACCTATAAACAGAAGCGGCTCTGTTAAACTAAAGCATTTATTAGCCAACTATAAGGTAGAAGAACCACCGAACAGATTCTGCTCTGGTAGCTGTCAGCAGCTTCAGCGGCGCTGTTACAAAACAAACTCTGTTAGCTAATGTTAGCTCCTGTCCTACTGACCCCGTTTCTAAGGCCTCGTTTAGGGGACAGGTAACGGTTTAAATATATTTTTAGATGTCCCGGTTCTCACGGATACTTACATGTGGGACCGACCTGCGACTTAACCATAGGTGGTTAGTAGAAAAGCGACCCGCGACACAACAACTTTGCTTTAACAACGCCATGACAGGGTAGCAAGTCACTGGAAAGAAGCAAACATCGGCAATCAGCTGCTTTGGGCTGATGTGGCATTCTTCTTCTTTTCTATTGTGGCGGATCACAAGCAACTTTAAGGTGCATACCGCCACCTACTGTACATGAGTGTGTAGCATGCATATATATATATATATATATATATATATATATATATATATATATATATATATATATATATATATATATATATATATATATATATATATATATATATATATATATATATATATATATTCTGTAGATAAATAAACAATGCTTTCCTTAATATGTGAATATCCTTTATATTTCATCCATTTCCCAATATTCCTTTGAGACTCTATTCTTTGCCTGTCCTTCCAACAATCCTTCTCAATTTCTCCCTTTCATTCAAAAGTTCAAAAAAAGTCCAGTGGATTCCAAGTCCAGTTCAAATCTTGTAAACCAAGTCCAGTGCATTTTTTTTTTTTTTTTTTTTTTTTTTACTTTTACGGAATGACTATGACCTGGATGACTGGGAATCTTCATCAGCATATTGCACTCCATTTTGGGAAAAATTCTCCCTTTCATGTTCATAAGTTTTACAGTTCATCAGTACATGTTCTACATTCTCTTTTTCCCCACATTCTTCACATTTATCATTATTTTTCCTCCCTATAAAATATGAATTGTCATTTAAGTAAGTATGACCCACTCTTAATCTGATAATTACTTCTTCCCTTCTGTTTCTCTCATTAATGACTCTATTTATTACTGATTTCATCAACTGGAAAATATGCAACATCTCATGTTTTAAAACTTTTCATAACAACAGCAATACCATGAATTGTAGAAGATGTACTGTTACTAAAAACAATATATATATATATATATATATATATATATATATATATATATATATATATATATATATATATATATATATATATATATATATATATATTAGTGCTGTCAATCGATTAAATTTTTTAATCGCGATTAATCGCATCAATGCCTGAGTTAACTCGCGATTAATCGCATTTTAATCGCACATTTTTTTCCTGATTGAAAATCATTTAAATACTCTCGATGACATACAAAAAAATACATACAGGCTAGGTTTGTGCCAATGTTCTTTTTTTTAAATGAAAACAGGTCACAGATACTGATTTATGCCATAGAAACATATGGCAAGAAGATGGGGAGGCATGTAGCAAAAAATAACAAATATGTAGCCAAAAAAAAGGCCCTGAAAACAGGCTGATGTAAAAGACAGTCTTTACAGTTAATACAGTCTTTTGAACAAAGACAAGCATTTTATCCTACTGCTATAAAATTTAGTAGAGTTAAAATTAGATGTTAATTAACCAAGGTAATAATGAACAATTTTCAATCAATACATCAAAATCAATAGACCGACATCACTAGATGAAGGTAGTCTATGCTCTCTAGAAAGTTACTTTTCAGCCTCTTAACAAAAATGAGAACACACACACACCCACTCACCCACACACACACACACGCGATACCGACGTGTTGCGTACACAGACGGCAAGAGTGCTGCTACGAGATTCCATTTCACCTCAGTAATCAGTTTTCTCAGCGTATTTCAGGTTGCTACTAGTTACCAGACACTCAACTTGTTTGTTGGTGGTGGGGCTTAAAGAAAAGGCACTAGCGCCACCCAGTGTATGAGCGTCTTTTTCCCTTGAGGAGCTCCGCTCTTGAAGCCTATGAGAAATGCATAGACTGGGGGAAAATAGCCCCGCCTTCCCGCAGGCTGCAGCGGGATGTACTTGGAAAAATTGTACCATAAAACCACATAGCGTTAATCTCACGTTAAAAAAATTATCGCCGTTAAAATGGCCTCGCGTTAACGCGTTAATAACGCGATAATTTTGACAGCACTAATATATATATATATATATATATATATATATATATATATATATATATATATATATATATATATATATATATATATATATATATATATATATATATATATATATATATATATATATATATATATATATATATATATATATATATATATATATGTGTGTATTTGATCGATGCATTTGATCTCAGCAGCTCGAAGTTTTATTTTAATCAAACAACTTTGAAGCAGCTAAACAAATTCACCACATTAGAAGTTTCGTGCAATTAACTGGCCAACTTATTCCTTCTTTTTTCCTAAGCCTTGAGCTTAATTTTGTTCTGTTGAATTCGGCAAACAAATTCCAACTTAATATTAAGTAATATACAATTCAGATTTCAACTCGTAACACCTGGCCTTCAAGAGAAAGAACTGTAAAGCCGTAGTAAAGCCAAGGAGGAGTGTATTTTAGGAGTGTATTTTAGGAGTAGAACTTCCTAAAATACACCTGCAAATTTAGATTTCCTACAGCGTTGTTCCTATTTCAGCAGAATGTGTATTTCAGCATTTCCCCAGTGTAGAACAATAAAATACTATTATATTCTGCTCTATTCTATTCTATTCTGTTCAATTCTATTCAATTCTATTCTATTCTATTCTATTCTATTCTGTTATACTCTATTCTATTCTATCCTATTCTGTTCTGGTCTATTCTATTCTATTCTATTCTATTCTATTCTATTCTATTCTATTCTATTCTATTCTATTCTATTCTATTCTATTCGGTTATATCCTATTCTATTCTATTCTGTTATATTCTATTCTGTTCTGTTATATTCTGTTCTGTTATATTCTATTCTATTATATTCTATTCTGCTCTATTCTATTCTGTTATATTGTATTGTATTCTATTAATTAATGATTAAATGTTAAATGTTTCGGTAATCGATTATAACGCCTGTTAGGGGGGCCTACAATTACGTCATGACGTCCTTGCGTCTTCCTTTCCTCTGCTACCGGCGAGGTGAGGATAGCTGCGAAAATGTTTCTGGTGTTTTAATCTGATCCCATCTGTGTCTTTTAACGCTTGCTATTGTATAAACTTCAATATTTAGAAACCAAGAAAGTTAAACTTCACTTCACTATTTATATTTTGAGTCTGTGTCGAGTTTATGTAGATAAATATTAGTAGTTTGTCCGCTCTCCACCCGTCCTCGGCCTCAGGGTCCTTCTGTTTTAATGGCGGCTGCTTGTTGAAATGTTACAGTTCTGAGTATAGGGTCTGTTTAACTCCCATGTAGTTTGACGGTTTATGAATAAAATAAATTCAGCAGTCTACTATACTGTCTGGAGCAGCATAGGGATGGTAGCTCCGTTAGCATTAGCTTCCTCCGTATGGCTATTTCCAGTTAAACTTCATAACAACTACAACCACACAATTTCAAATGTAACGCCAGTCAGAACTAATACATCTTTACATGTTTGCTCATTATTTCAATATTTACAGCGGGGATTGTGTTGAAATTGTGATGCTTTTTTGCTTGTAGAATGAAGACCATTCTCAGCAGTCAGACTGTCGACCTCCCCGACAATGGTAAGCCCGTGTTCTTAACACAGTTTTCTTTTTTCCCAGTTTTTTTTTTAACTGTCTCTGGGTTTTGTGTCTGGCAGTGGAGGTGAGGTTGAAGGGGCGAACAGTGATCGTCAAAGGGCCCCGTGGTAAACTCACCAGGGAGTTCAACCACATCAACCTGGAGCTTAGCCTGCTGGGCAAGAAACAGAAGAAGGTAAACATGGTGGCGTTGAAATGTTACTCTGATCATCTGTAGGTTGATTTCAGCTGAACTGTTGAGAAAACTAAGTCATGTCACAGATTCCATCGCACTGATAACACCAAACCAAAATTCTGTAAAAAAAAAAAACTAGGATTAAGTATATCTGGTTTAAGGATAGAGATTTTATTTTCATCACAAGAAGTTTGCCAATAAGTTGATTTTACAGTACTATTGAACTATATGAAGTTGCCTCTTAGCTTTATATCGTCATTAGGGCTGAAACTGTTAATCGTGATATATAATCAATTATTTAAATTTTCTATAAATTTAGAAATTGATTGTTGTTGGAGTATACAGGCTGTAGAATATGCCTGTAGCTGACAGAGCGACTTACTTAAAGCAGTGTTATACCTAGACTGTAAAAAAAAAAATGTGTATATATATATATATATATAAATAAAAATTTAAGAAGAACCTTTTCTTTTCATATGCTCTATCCAGAACACCTCGAACAGAAAGGTTCAAGGTGTTCTGGATAGAGAATATTAAGAGTTTCACCTTGTTTAATTTGTAGAAAATCTTTAAGGAACCTTTGGCTGTATGGTTATTAATCGGTTTATTGAAAAAATTACAGATTAATCGATTTAACAAAATGATTAAGAGTTGCAGCCCTAATCCTCATGCTGTCAGTAGTTAATCATCCACAATTTTAGCTGTAGACAATAAATAAGTCAGTTGGTGTTTCTTGTTTGATCAGTGTTTATCTGTAATATTGGTTTGGGTTGTATTAACCTGATCAACGAATGATCTTCAAATTAATTTTAAGCTTTAATGCCATGATTCTTTAGCTTCGTGTGGAAAAATGGTGGGGTAACAGGAAGGAGCTGGCCACAGTGCGCACCATCTGCAGCCACGTCCAGAACATGATCAAAGGTGTCACTCTGGTGAGATTCTGCTCGATATCTACAATAACATGAGTTAATTTTGCTCTTCTGCTGAATGTCTAACACATGTTGTATGCTTCAGGGTTTCCGGTATAAGATGCGCTCTGTGTACGCCCATTTCCCCATCAACGTGGTCATTCAGGAGAATGGAACACTGGTGGAAATCAGGAACTTCCTGGGAGAGAAATACATCCGCCGTGTCAGAATGAGGGCTGGTAAGTCGACCGTGCAACTAAAATAACATTTCCAATTGCTCCCTTCCGGGCGATACGGGTCCAGGATACAATTTAGAAACTGCCTTTTCAAAGCCAAACTAGGCAAAGTTGGTGGTAGAGCTGACCTATTTTTAAAGATATTGAATAGTAAGGATTATAGTTTTATTATTTTTTTGTCTCTGGTTCTTATTACTAATTGGTAAACAAAACCTTAATCAATATTAACTTGAGGGGTTTATATGGTGATTCATTTTTCTGCCATGTTGCACAGCCCTATTC